GGTCTCAAAATTTTGATTAGTCAGACATTTCCAAATCAAAAACTTGCTGAAAAGATTTCCTCATATGTAAAGCACAGAAGCACAAAAGGCAATAACAAGCGATAAAGAGGTTTTCCCATCTCTTTGTCGTTCTCGGACACCGTTGCTTGCAACTGGTCATGCTGGACCCTGCTCAAAGCTACATTCTCCACCTTCATAATTGATTCCACCCTTTCCTGTAGAGCCAAATTTTGACGTTTAAGGCTTCTTCTGTCAGCCTGCAGCAGTGACACCTTCTCCTGGAGCTGCTGATGAGACAACCTGTTATTCGGTATGGCCGACTCCAGGGAAAACACACTCTCGGACTTCCTCATCTCCCGACGGGCAAGGACCATGAGGTCACTCCGATGTACCCGGTAAATGTCACATCGCGGCTTATTGCTTAGAAATTAACAATGCATGTGGTGGATTATACCATTATAGTACACATCACCTCCTGTTATCCGCACTGGAACCTGGCCTTCTGGCCCCTTCTTGGCCTCCACTACACTAGGTAGGTCCCTATTACCTATGCACAAACAGTGAAGGCAATTTACCCAACGAAGCTGTAAATTCTTCCTCTGTCAGTATGCTGGGATGGGACAAAAACCAGGCAGATGTCGTCCAGCCACAATACCTTCAACCATTAGTCGCCATGACAAATCAGAAAAACAAGGAAAAAACGACAGACGGCATGCCCTTGTTGTTCACTTTCATAATCTGCAAATAATAACCTGTAGACCATGTGTTGAGGCCTGCATTACGAGCTGCCTTTTCCCACCTAATTTTTTTTTTGTGACCAGGGCGCTCTCTCTTCCACCAGTACCTTGGGAAAACTCTGCCAACTTGATGTTGAGCGTGGCCTTCTTTTTCTTCTTTGCAGCTTCCCACCATCTCCTCAACTTCGTGTCGCATGGTCTGCATATAGGGTGGATGCACCCCAGCAACATCTTCCTCAACAACGATGTGCAATCTGGCCTTAATTATGTGAGCCATATCCTCCTTTTGTATTGGATTGCGATTCAGTTCTTGACACCTCAAGACTCCGCATAACCTGCACAAATAGGCCACTTCAGACATCACTGAAAAGACCTGCCCATTGACGACGTGCCACTACTGGCCAACTAGACAGTGGCGCTTGCACACAATCTTGCGGCCTTAACTGCACTAAATGAAATGAACAGAAAAAAAATCTGCATCTGTTTTTTAAAAACTTGTAAAAAAAGTAAAAAGGAAAAAATGTAACCTGGAAAAATGACATACTTCAACTAAGAATATAAAAAGAACAACCACCAAAAAATATAACACTTTGGGGACTACCTTGCCAAAGAAAAACAACACTTTCAAAAAGATTAAGAAGGGAGGAGTCACAAGAAATCTAAAAGAATAGGGATGCAGAAACTGGAAACTTGGTTTTGACAACAAAAAAAACAAGGTCTTTATTTCTTCTCCCAAAAAATTACTTAACCTAAGTTAAAGAAGAAGTAACAAGAGAAATAAAGAAACCAGGACCTTGTATCATGACCAACCAAGAATCAGATTTTAAAAATTTTGCCAAAGACTTGAAAACCTATTCTATTCACTTGACTTATTAATTTGTAGGCCCCTAAACACGACATGCATAAGGGAAAAAGTCAAATAACTGTGGATTGAACAAAGCTTGCCAAGAAGGGAACTCCAACTGAAATTGGGAATTCATGTTAAATAGGCCTATTTGTGTGAATGATAAATGTAAAATCATTATGTAAAAAAAATGAAAAAGTGATCAAATAAAAAAAAAAACATTAGGGCCTAGGCCTAAAATCTTTCACAAACATGAAAAAATAAAAAACACAACACAAGTAGCGACTGTTTCCTGCAACGGGGCACACGACAAACATGACAAAACCCACACTAAAACAGTCGAGCCAGAATTACCCGATGGTTTCATCGTCCCTATAAAAATTGTGCACGGGACTGCACACTGAAAACACATGCAGGAATGGATGAAAGGAATCTTCTCAACGAAAACTTCCCAATATCAGCCATCGGAACATGTCGGAAAAGACTGAAAATTACCCAAATTTCAACTCATAATTCCTCTTACCTCTCGATGTATTGCTTCCAGAAAAATTATCATAACTTGTCGTGGGGAACAACGGATTTCAATCGCTTTAACACCACCAGAACGAGAATTTTCCAGCAATTTCTTTGTTAAAGATGGCACATGGAAATGGCGCATGCGAAACATACTTTTGTTTGTTTGTATTTTACAACTCAGATGACACGAACCAATGTTAGCTCCAATGAGGTCACCAGAGTGATAACGAACCCTGTGCACAGAGGAGTCTTATCGTGGTTGTAAATCTGTCGGTCAGTGGGCGTGCCGCGGGAGGTCTCCATGCCTTTACTACTGGTCAGTGAGGGGTGCTAATTGGTCAGTAAATATCCTGTGGGGGCTTGGCGGGCCGTTCGAACTCCTGTCTTTTCCTTCCTCCATGCCAATACTTACACGATGTCGGCCTAGGCCTACTATCATCACATGCACTCATGTCAAAAATGCCTAAATGCACAGTATACAGTCCTGCAGAGACATCCTAGTTCAACAGAAAGAAAAATAATTGACAACCCTCATTAAAGAATTACCCATTTCCGGTTGAATTATTCCTCACTGCAAAAACCTTTAGACCAGTGTCATACATAATTTTTCCTTCCCTCTTCCTTCGCCCATGCTGGCTGCCACGCCACATGTACATGTACATGTATGTATGCTACCGATACACGGGCCACAAAATCCTACAGCCCTTCACCGTAGTACTCCCTAAATTATCTTCCAAATATAACCTTTTAAAAACCTTCATTTCCTCCAATCTACCATCAAACTAGTCGACAATCTCGAGCGGATAAAATGAGGGGAACAAACATTTACAAATATTCTATGAAGTGGTGAAATAAAGCAAATGCAAATAAAAAACCCAAAAAAACAAAAAACAACCGGTACAATTACCTGCAGAAATTGGGCAGGCATGCAGCGCAGCTCCAACGCCATCTAAGAGAAACAAAACACATACAATACAAGTCTGGTAAACAATTCAGCTCAGAGAGCAGAGCTTGGATATTTGACTACAGGAATTTTGGACAACAAAATTAATTAGTAATAATAATAATTATTATTATTATTATTAATTTCAATAGTATAAAACCCTAGATAATGTGCCATATTTAAAATTTTAAACTATCACGAACTATATGTACAAAATTCAAGTAAGTTAAAGTTCGTTTGTTGTGTGTGACCTCCAGTGAGTGTTTGGGTTAACTCCAAAGATCGTGTAGCGCCGCTAAGCGGCGCTACACGATCTTTGGTTAACTCTGCAGCTAGCTGCAGAGAAGACGCAGTAGTACAAATGAGCAGGATTTATAGAATTTTGTTACCAGAGATCATCGACAAAAATCGAAGCAAGTATAATATATGGAATATCTTAAAATGGGTTATTACAAAATCACAAAATTGTATTCCCAATTTCATCACTTAGAACCTCCGTACATCTGGATGAAAATCTTGTCGGTTATCCTTTACAGAATAAAAATAAAGGAGCAGCAACTGGGACTCCATGTCTCGCCGAAAGAGTGTGCAGTGTTCCTGCGCACAGGCGGTTCATGTGATGTGTCGCCGCCAAACCACCAAAGGGTAAATGCAAAGCGTCTCAACATTCTGAAGACACTCTAACCTGGTGGAACATGGGTCGAGTATCTGTCATTACTAGTTGCTCTTGACGTTGACCCAAATCAAGTACCTGATTATGTGGTACATACTATGTAGCCATATATCTGAGGTGACATCATCTTCAACAACCATCTCAGCATATCCATTATTATTACCAACACGGTTAAGCGTGACTTTAGTTGATGATCTCTCTCCACACGTCTGCCCAATGCAGTCAGACATTGCTCTGCGACGATTAATTCAGTCGTCCAAAAGCTTGGCGGGTTGTTCTTGAAAGGTATTGGAAATTCATAGAGTCCATCCTTATGGCAAACAGTCCTTCCCCATAATGCAATTGCCCTCTTGTCTTGGACTGACATGCCCTTGTCATCATCATAGAGTGACCCGCCAGCTTCCAATCTCCAGAATGTATAAAGCTGAAGTGACTACAGCCTTTCCTATTGGCCAATTTAAACACCACCCAACGCATCCTAGTACCCTTGTAGGGTGTATTTGATTCACCGCTTATCACTTCCGATGGTACAAGAGCCTCTACTGAGTCTTGGCCAATCAAAAGTCAGCAAAAGGGTGACGTAAATCTTCCAGCTGAGGTCGCATCCGAATTAGTTGTCTGTAGAGTTAGGTCTACGTCTCTACTCCACTGAAAATGCGGGAGACGAGCAGACAATAGACTTAGCTTTACCTTTTGAAGCCTGTTGCGGACACGACCTAATAAGCGCCTTCTTTTGACAAAATGAAACAAAATAAATCGATAAAAAGCGTTCTGACTTAACATACGCCCCTCCACTTTGCAACGGGAGGCAGACTAGCTGACCTATACCTCGGGGCCATTAATTTCCATATACCTGATAAAGTTGGTCGAGAGCAAATTGACAAAAATAACAAATTCAAGACCGACATACAATTTATTTCTGAGCTGCAAGGCTCCGCATGTCTGGCAAGAACTGCAACAGACTGGTTCTGTTGAGATTACATATCACAAAGACTACACGTCTACGAAGCAGGTTCCAGAGGAATTTGGGTGCTACCAGGAAAACCTACTGCACGTCGGCGAGCTGGATACTCATAGGGATGACATCACCTGTGCGCGTATCAGCTGTACTTCCTGAACGCCAGGCAAAATCGGCCAATGACGTGCTTCAATTTGTTCACGAGTATCAGGGGGAGGAATAAGATTGTACCTATATTTTTGTATTAAATGCAAAATTCCCAGGCCAAAGCTAGAGAATGTCATTGAAGACTCGATCAAATTTAAACAAACACTTGAGAACACAGCATATCTTGATTAGAAAGATTTTATTGAGAGAAAAGGAGTACTTTCAACAATTATTTTGTTGTTTTTCAATGCATATCGGTGCTGTCTTTACATACCTACAGAGTTTATGACACATGGCTGTCGTACAGTGGCTCTTGGCTCGCGGGACTTGCTCAAACCTACGCAAATCTTTTCTATAAAAAGAACCCACTGATTGTTTGGTCTGGCCAATTCACTTTTTACAAGATGTACATGCCACTGAAGTTCTGCAGTAGAGGCCAACAATTGCATGCCATTTTTAAAATTAATTTTGGTTTTGGTTAATCATTTAAACGGGTAATAGCACTTGCCGTGTATGACCTCACTAAGGGTAGAGCTATGGGTGAAGAGGTACTTGTACGTGGATGAATGCACATTTTATTTCAATGAGGATATAATTTGCCCCCCAGCAAAGCTGCTATCAACCTCCTTTATGGAGATACCCTTGGTTCAGTGGTTACTTTATCAAATGAAGAAATACTACTCCCAATTGAAATATACTGGTCAGTGAAGTATGTATTTAAATGTAAAACCTATCGAATTCAAGTTAGCATGTTGGAACAGCCAAAGGGAACTGAGGTAACAATCAACTATTACCATTGCTTTCCATTCTTTTTTTCTTCCTTCCTACTTATAACTTGGCTTGTTTGACCTTCCCTTTTCTCTCGTCAATCTGGACCCCAACGAGTATGGGAAAAAGACTGAAGCTATCTGTACACCTACTGTTCTGCATGCCAATATCTAAAAAATATCCCAAGGATCTGGGACATAATCATGGTTCATGTATAAAGAAAAGAAATTGAAAACATCCGTGCAAAATGTGTGGGGCAAAAACCAAATACACATGTAAAAATTCACGATACAACTTAATTTATCACTCAAAAAATGCTTGAAATACCACTGTGTCATGGCCACTGGGGACAGCATGACCAATTCATATTGGACTGGGGGTCAATTTGATACATTTCACGCATATTCTCTGTGCACGAATTCTGCTCTTAGCTACTGAGACGCAAATAAATATTTGTACAAGACCATCAGTGGAAGTAAGGAACTATTAAGTACCTTTGTTGTGCGAATACACAGAAAAGCACAGCAAGGTTGGTTGGGTAACAGGGCTGTGTAGTGATGACACCACACTGATAATTTACATCAAGCTTTTCCATTGAGCTAGTGAGGTCTGCCGAGATCCACTGGGTGCCATAGGAAAGCACATACATGTCGTATGTACACAGGCCTATTCCCTTCCCATTCGAATTCAAAAGTAATTGGGAAAAAAATTCAGCATGTGTTTTTGTTTCAACAGTTCCCAGACTTACAAATAAAATACACTTTTGTACTCAATTACCCAAAATACTAGAGAAAATTAGTTCTCTGTCAACTAAAAAAAAATCTACCTAATAAAAACATGAAAAATAGGATGGAAAAGAATTAATTCATTTCATGTCATGCATCATTTCAAGTTTGGGACGACAGTTCATCAATCATGACAGTTCCTAAGCTTAGCTCTTGGACATCCAAAAAAAAAAAAAAAAGACTAAATATCAGACAAAAAATATTTTAAGTCTGCAATTTCTGATCGTTATTGCTAGAGAGTTTTCACTGCCTCCAAATCTTGTGCTGATAGCCAGTCATTTGAAGTGGAATGCTAGGACCTAAAAACCAACCATCCAGCTTGGAAGATTTGATTTCAGAGCGATCCTTGTCCACACCAACAAAAATTCCCTCACAGCACTGAGATATATCATTCTACAGCCCTGACAATCTGTGATTGATGTAGTTGATGAAGTTAAGACAGTGAGGCACTCGGTTTGGGATGCAGGAGATACCCAGGTTACAAATGGCTAAAAAAGGATTCTTAAAAGATGTGTGCAAAATCTAGGACAACCTTGCATACCACAAAGAGTTCCTGAAACAAGTTTTTATCCTATGTGGGGAAAAAAAGACTGACCTCTCAAATTATGTATCATTTGCTATGCATTTATGTTGTACGTTTTATGCTTTATTGTGCCTAGCAGATTAGGAGTAACGATCTGTCACTGCAGCTGGTCACTTTTACACTGCGCATGAATAGCAGCATTATACTGTCAATTCACTCCTTGGATGGATTTGAGGGTTTGCGCAGTCTCATTGCATATGGAGAGGCCCTGACTGGTGCGGCTGGGGAAGGCTGCTGCTGTTTGGATGGCATCGGTTGCTGCTGTTGCTCGGAAGATGATGTGGAGGGCTGTGTATCAGAGACCTCTTTTCCGCTGGCTGAGGCTTGGGCTGAGGGCAGGGGCACAGCTGGTGCCTCAGCTTCAATCTCCACCGTGGCCTGTTCCTGAGCAGGTGGGGCGGGCTGGGCCTGAGGCTGTGGTATGGGCTGGGCCTGCGGCTTGGCCTCTACCTGCAGCTCCAGTTTGGGCTTGGCAGGTGCATGGGGCTGAGAGGCCTGACTCTGGAGGATCTTCAGTACCTGCTGTTGCTGTGCTAGCAGCTTCTGCTGCTGGAGTTGCTGCTGGGCAGCAGTGGTTGCTTGCAGCCGCGCCTGGACTGTGCCTGTCTGTTTTTGCACCTGGGCTTGTGTCTGGGCCTGTTGCGTCTGGGCCTGCTGCACCAGGCGCTGTGCTGCTGACGGCATTGCTGCGTGTCGCTGCTGAGCTGGCGACTGCTGTGTCTGTGCGCCTGCTTTAGTAGGTTGGGCGCTAAGAGTGACCTGTACTGGGGACGCTGACTGTGGAGTACCCTGGGGCTGTATGGAGGCAGTCACCTGGCCTGAGCCTGCTACTTGACCTGACACTGCCCCGCTGGTGCTGCTCCCTTGCGACTGGGCCCGAGACTGCTGGGCACTGGGCACGCTCTGCACAGTCACAGTCTGCTGGGGCTGCAAGCCACCGGCCTGTGAGCTCTTCTGGGCCAGGGCCTGCGCCTGGGAGATGACCCGGGCCAGCTGGGTCATGTTCTGGGTCCCACCGCTGGACATGAGTTGGGTCAGGATCTGCTTCTGGGAGGGGGTCATGACGTGGGTCTGGGACAAACCCCCCATGGACTTGGCCACTGTCAGTAAGGAGGTCCCTGAGACTGTAGGGATGATGGTGACTGGTTTACCAGCCTGCTGAATGGACAAGGTGGCCCCTCCTCCACTGCCTGACTGCTTGACTTGCTGCTGTAGCTGCTGCCGAACTGTGGCCAGCTGCTGAACCTGTAAAAGAAACCAAAGCAGTGAAAACATCCATCACTACAGCAAAAGCAACATCTCCACACTCAGTAACAACCCTACCAACACAACCATTTACTTGTTTGAAAAGGGCAATGGACAATATATTATTGTTCTTATTAAGTATTATTTTTAATTTTAAAAGGAGGTAAATGTGCCATATTATTTTTATTGCACGCAGATGGAAGCCTAGGAGCACACTTTAAATGTTTATGTTTTCTTTGCAAATCATTTCAGCACCCTTAGAATTATCTTTAAATCAATTGCCATGAAATCCCGAGTTCAATAAAAGGGGTACTTGTGAGCTTTCACAATTCTGGACGCTGTTTTCTACCAACCCTTTACCATTGCAAGAAACAAATACAAGCTAAAGTCACCCCGACATTTCAATTGATTTGAAGTTGTGACTCCCATTTTTTAATCTGGGCAAAAGATCCTCAGGACTTTCTCTAATGTTTAAAAGACAAAAGTAAAATACCCTGCAGATGGATAAAAATGTGCATTTAGCTACCACACAGAACAAACTCAGTGCACCAAGGCCCTGAAAGTTGCTGTTAAAGCAGGAAGTGTGACCAGCCCTGAATGGCAACAGATTCATTCATCAAATGCAGGCCCTGAAAATGTCTTCAATCTTCACCTGGCCCACTCGCTGCACTACTGCGGGGCTGGCCTGGGCCTGAGAGGTCGTGACCCTTTGGACTCTGACCTGCTGTAGTTGCTGTGGTGTCAGCCCGCTAACCTGCTGGGACAGGCGTTGCCGTTGGCTGTTCGTTGTCTGTACAACCTGTTGAATGAAGATTCAAATTTTGCTGTACAACTTTGTCTAATCAGTACTAGTAATTTAAGCATCACTTGTTCTGGAGCCACATCTAAGTTGAAATTTTCTGAGGTTCGAATGTCATGACTGTGTTCAACAGCTGAAAAAAGCAAACAAATCTCTATAGAGACTGCTAATGCACAAAATGCACTGTAGCTGAAATAGAAATAATGCATTTGTTAACAAAGTGAAAGTCTAAACAAGAACAAGTCCAGATGCACCTCTGAGTTATGAAAAATATAAATTTGAAGAAAGTCCTTCAAGCACTTTGCGCCAGGGGCATTTATGAATGTTAATGATGCTGGGATGGGATAATTTTCTTTTTTCAAAATTCTTTGAAAATTCATATCTTCATTTACTGGACACTTACACCCACACAAAGGACTGTCTGGTTTCTACTCTAATCTGACAGACAACATCTATTGACGCTGGAGTATTTCAGCCAGGCCTGCCGCCTTGTAAAAAAGACCAGATTGTGCAGTGTTACATAATTTTCTGTTGTTCACAAAACTGGCACAGTGCGCTGCTGACCTCTTTTCAATAGGGGCCAGACTAGCATGCAGCAGTACTGTGTGGCTCAACGCTGTGGTTGTGGAGCACTTTTGTCCCTGGTGGCAAGTTGTTAAGGTATTTTAATACTCCATGCCATTTGGCTCGTTACTAATGGGCTGAAAAGTTCCAAGACCAGCGAAATGAATCTTGGTGACTGCTTCTGATGGGTATGCGAGTCATCAAAGTTGCAATGTCTTCGAAGTTCGGAAACTTGAGGAAAAAACACTCCTCTGATCAAATGGAAATTTTTGGTTTTCCAACCCCTTGCCTTAAAAAACATCATGGTGCAAAGTTGCCCTAATCAGAGACCTGGTGCAGCTCTTACAGAGTCCCCTAGACTCTACGCCACCACACTTCCCAAACAATAGTTCTCTTAAAAAGTAAAAATTATTTCAAGACATTTTTAACCCCCAAAACATATGATGTATAGTAGAAGCTGTGAGTTTAATATCATACTGACAAATGAACAATGAGGCTTGGGCACTTTTCTAATACTTGGCTTTGTCTCAGTCTCAGGCTTCCACTCTAAAAATGGATCCCACAATACTCAGATTAATCATTTGCTGCCAGGTTCAATTAAAATAGCCGTGCACAAATACAAGCGTTTTTCATGATTTTCCGTTTTCAAAATTCTTAAAAAATTCATTACTTCATTTACTGGACGTTTACACCCACACCAATGACTGTCTGGTGTCTAATCTTATCTGACAGGCAACTATTGACACTTGTATATTTCAGCCAGGCCTGCTGCCTTGTAAAGAGAGCCCAGATTGTGCTGCGTTGTGTAATTTTCTTTTGTTCTCGAAACCACAGCTGGTACAGTGCACTCCTGACATCTTTTTGAAAGGGGCCAGGTTGGTGCGCAGTGGTATTGTGTTGCTCAGCACTGCAGCGCTGGAGAGCTTTTGTCAGTGATTGTAATCCTTCGTATTAAATGCCACAAATAGTGGTATAGTGTTTCAAAAATAGGACAGATTACCTCCGCTATTGACAACTGAAAAATATTCTTCAAGTCCCAGCAGGTCGGTCTTTTGTTCAGAGAGCGGTCTTTTGTGACAAGACCCGGCTCCTTTGTCGGATTTTGGGCCCCCTAGCTATGCGTACAAACATAAAGTACCCGATCCCTGGTCCCCCCGGCGAAAAGTGGGTTAGATAGAAATACTTTAAAATTTGCCTCTGTTTTGCATGCTTTTCTATGTTCCGGTGGCACTATGCAACTTCTTGATCAACCGTCTTTAAAGTGGGTGGGGTGGGGGGGGATGTGTGTAAAAACCAGGTCAAGCCTGAGATGGAGATGAAGCAGATAACTGGATAAACCCCCAGAGTATCCTGAGGTCAAGTGGCCTGACCAACACTGAAAAATTCTCATTGGGTACCTGACTGGCGAGTGAGCCTGTGACGGCCACTGAGACGGAGGGGGTACTGATCCTGATCTGGGCTGGGCTGATGGTGCCCGAGGCCCCCTGTAGCTGGGCCTGGCTGACCACTGCGCTGCCTGGCTGCATCTTCTGCTGGGCCAGCAGCTGCTGGGTCTTGACTGCCAGCTGCTGGAAGGAATGGAACGCAAACCAAACATTTGCGCTTGTGGTCAGGATTCCAATTATGTGCAGGTGGTTCTTTTTGACGTCATTTGTAATCAGGGAAATCTTGTTGGCCACTTTCTTTCCATTTTCCATAGCACTACAATTCACTTGAACTTTGAGAAAAAGTAACATATTGCAGCTTCCGATGGCTGGAGAAAATGTTATCAAGGAAATTCAGCATTCAGTATCTTGAGTTGGTCTTAAACATTAGTTGAAGACTGGCTAAGCGTATATTTATTCCCATTCATAAATTCCCCTTTTTTCTAGTCAGAGAGTTAAAAGAAGTCAATACATGATGGATTTCCAACAATTTTGTTCTAGAATTTTCATTTTCCCTAAACACCCCTGTCCATTTTATGGTATATTCCTTGTGCAAGTTGTCAAAAAAAAATCTCTTTATATGGACTTGGTGTGTGCATGGTGAGCCAAGTGCACACAGACTCTTGACCACTCGGAGTTGCTTAACTGTTTTGTATCCAGGTGCTTTAAGCAGTGGCCATAATCGCTTCTCAGCGGGCAATAAGAAATGTAAATACACGGTCAAGCTGCACGTTGTTGAATATGGAAACTGTCCGAGGAATTTATGAATGGACATTCAAAGTCCCATGTGAATCTCTCATTCTGTGTTGTGTGAAAACACTCTTGGCAAAAGCAGACAGGGCTCACTTAGGAAGCTGTCTTGAGCAAGGCTCTAGCCCTTTCTACTTCACCCCCATGCCCAAACACACACATACAAAAGGAAACCACTCACCAACTGCTGCTGCTTGGCCTGGTGCTGCCCCTTCTGGGGCAAGTTGATCTTGGATACCATGCTAGGGAGGGTCAGGGGCTTCATGGGCAGTGTGGCTGCACTGCCAGTCTGCTGGGCCTGGCTCTGCTGGGCCGGGCCCTTGGGGGTACCTCCGCTGGCTGCCCCGGTGGAAGCCATTGCTGCGGGGCTGACTGTCAGCCCACTCAGGGTGATGTTCTTGATCCCGGCCACCGTGGTAAGGGGCACCGTGGTGATGGCGGCCGACGTCCTCTTCTGGATCCGCTGGCTGGCCAAGAATTGGTGGCGCTTGAGCAAGGCCGTCAAGTCCTCATTCTTCATGGGGCGGGTCACGGTCTTGCCCCCTATCTGCACCTATGAGAAGTAAAATACATTGAAAATAGATACTTTACACAATTCACAAGGGATCTAGATTGTTAGGTTTGGTCACATTTACACAATCCATGAGAAAATCATGTAATGTTGTAATAATTGCTGACTTGCCGCATTTGCTGATTGGGTGCCAAAACCTCCAATGCTATAAATATGGAGAGTGTTGGGCATGTGATGCTGATGCAGATACACTTCCAAACAAATGCAAGGGAACTTTGGGTAGCTGGGGTGGTCATTCATCAATGCCAACTGACCTGTGCTCGTGGCTGGCCAGCCTGGGTTAGCTGTGGCTGGGCGAGGGTGGATGTGGCGCTGACTGCTGCAGCCACCTGGCTGACCGTCACGTTGCTGGTGGGCGGTTTTTGGCCAGACTGCAGCTGCTTCTGCATGGCCTGAGCCTGGGCCTGGGCCTCTGCCTGGACTATCTTGGCCTGGGCTTGGGCCTGGGCTTGGGCATGTGCTTGGGCCTGAAGCTGGTGTTTGGCATCAAAGAGAAAAAGTGTAAGCTGAAGATGTGCGTAACATAGCACAATATCCCCATTATTAAAGACACGTTTTCCTCTCTTCGTATACTGACATTTCCCTGTTCCATTTATATGTATTCAGCATTTTTTATACATTCTCAAAAGAGTCGATGAAGAAATGCCTCGTATGTTTCCCAGAGTATCTGTTTTATGATTTCTACAAAATGACACATGAGAGATGGAGCAATTAAAACAATCCAAATAAACCTCAAGAGGTAACTCAATACACTGGGGGTAATTGAAATTGTTCCAGTCTTGTTTGAACACTTTATATCATCGAATTTAAGACGGAAAACACAAGTTATAGGAGATTCTGTTTCTCGTTAAAGCCCTTTTTTTGGTAGTTACTGACCTTGATTTGTGCTTGTTGCTGTTGCTGTTGTTGGAGCAGGGCTTGCTGTTTTATGGCATGCTGCTTAATCAGACCGTAATTGGCTGCCAGCTTAGCTGTGTACATAAAGGATAGGATATACTTCAAATGACCTTTCGGAGACAAGCAAGGGCCCACGATAAACCACAGGACAGAACTGAAAAATGCTTCTTTTTAACTCACAAGCCTCTTGGACAGCCAATCAGAGAGCAGCAGCGTACCTGTTATTGTGGCCGTGCCCGTGGGTGTACTCCTGGCCTGGCTGGCAGACCCCGCAGATGTGATGACTACCTGGGCCCCAGACGTGACGGGGGCACGGACCTGGCTGGTGATTATGCCTGCCGAGCTGGGCAGCGAGACGTGGGCAATGGTGGTACGCACTGCCTGGGCTCTTACTACCTGTCCCAGTGAACTTGGAACCTTGTTAGGGAGAAAAAAAGGAAAAAAACTTAACAAATGCTAAATAATTAGCGTAACTTAATTTCATACTCAAGAACTTCAGCACATTTGCAAACAAGAGCGTACTCCACAGCAAAATTTAAGAATACAGTGCAAACAATGAACACACTTACAGCGGTGATAGCAATGACATGAAGTGACAAAGAAATGAAGGTCAGTAGGCTTGCTTTTCATGGAGAAAGAGTGACTTTTTTTTAGATTTTTGCAACTGATAGTTCTGTAAAGTGTTTAGTGTCCAAGAAGGCATCCATCTACAGCAAATTGTTTAGGTTTATGACTGGACGCTTAGAATTACTAGATACAACACGTGTATCAGATGCACTTACGGTGGCCATGACGGGTGTGGCCCCAGAGATGGTTGCCATGGTCCCCACCTGCTGTTGGCTCATGCGCTTGTTGATGTTGGCGAAGGAGTTGCCTGGGATGGCTGTCACCACACCGGGGGTATTGACCACAATGCTATTGGCTCCGCCTGTTACGCGGATGGCCGTGGGGCCCAGCGCGGTGCGATTGATGGTGCCGGGGCCCGCTTGCTGGAAATGCGGAAATGGCAGCGAAATGGGAGTTGGTTGATTAGTGGAATGAGTGCAGACAGAAGCCTGAGGTCAGCGCAATGGAAAACCAAAAGCCTAACGTCCACAAAAGTTCTGACACAAAAAACAGGGAAACTCAGAGCTCGGCAAAGTTTGGGTCTGTCTTGACAGTTAGGATACCCTAAAAGGTTCACAAGATAATCTCAAATTGGGAATTTGTGCTACTTTACTAGAAGTACCATGCGAATAGTACAGTTGTGAAACTTCACCTAGGACCAATGCATGCTAACTGAAGAACAGCCAGTACCAGTTTGTCCACAATGGAAAGGGAATTTATTTTCATCAAAACACAGAGTCTGGCTATTACTACACAACTGAAATCTCCATCATTCCCTTCATAAGTTTCTACTAGCCTTGTCTCAAGGTGTCTACGCGGATTCACAGACTGAATTCCCGATGTGTGCAATAAACACAAGTATGAACTTGTTTGCGCATTGATTTCATTGCTAGTACGGTGTACGTGTGAACGGCCAATGTCCTTACAGCGTGCGTGTGCTGTGCCGGCACGCCATAGCACTTGCAAGTATCGGTGCTGGCACGGGAGGACCCACTTGTGGTGGAGTGGTGCAATTTAGCATGTTTTCAGCATAATTCGTTCATTCTTAGCGAGATTTTTTGCAAGTTCCATTTCAAGCAGTGGATTCCGTTTCAAAGTGTTGATTCCGCAAATTCTGTTCGTTTTCCGTGACTGTGCAAAATCATTAGCTCTACAAGTCTCTTGTCAGATTTGTGTACAAGTCCTCCTTCCGGGGGCTTGGCTCCCAGTTCTCTTGTCTAATAGCTACACTATTTCGGACAACCAAGCTGGGCTTGCGTGGAGGTCCACTGACAAAAAGGTTAGGCTTAGATACACAAACACACTTGGAGCAGAAATGTGCTGAGATATGACAATATCTGAAATTATATGCACAGCATGGTACTTGGCATTCTCACAGATGAGAATCATGAAGAACAAAATAGAACAAAATACAAGTGCACAACAAAGCACTACAGTTTTTGCAATGTGATTAGAGTTATGAACCACCAAGGACTGACGACTGAAACATCTCAATGAAGAAACCCTCTAGTTACAGGAGGGTTTAAAAAGCCCAAGGATAACGGAATCCCAACTTATTTAAATGAAAGCTTAGAAATGCAGGACATGAAATCTAAACTCAAACTTCCAGGACAGCTTTGCCAAATATTTTTCAAAATCCTACAGCATTTAGAACACTACAGCAAATATTTTCTGGGGTTAACTTTCAAGGGACATCAAACAGAGTAAAGCAACAGAGGCTGAACCCAACTGCACTGGCCAGGCCTATTAAAAACCTGGAGAATTTTGAAGTATGGCAAGATTTGGGTTAAGCTTTACAGTGACACCTCTTCACTTCATCAGTTTAATTACATTAAGCAAGCTGAGAAACAAGTTCTTTAGCTGTCACACTCACAAAAAAGAGTACAATCTCAGCACAGCAGTCACAAAGAAACTTAAAATTGCACGCCACCACATTGTCCACCCTTGTACATTAGCTTGGGTCAAGAGTTAAAGTGAAAGTGAGACAACGAACCATGACCGTTGCTGTTGTGGCTGTGGCTACTGGTTGAGCTACTGCCGCCGCTGCTGCTACGGCCTGTTGCTGCTTGGCCTGGGCGTCTTGGATTCGTTGTCGCTGCTGTTGCTCCTGTGCAGCCTGTAACCATAGAGATGTCCCACCAAAGCAACATGTCATGTGGAGGTTTCAAAATCTAATAGGCAACTTGAGTTCCTTGTTTTCCTACTTAATTTTCAGGAAACATTTTAAAAACCACACATCTTCAAAGGAACTCTAGCAAGGGTATTCCCTTGTGGTACCTTAAAACTGTACAGCAATTTTTTTGTATCAGTAATCTTCATGACTGTTGAACAAAATTCACCAAACAATTACTGCCACTAAATTATCTATTAGCAGAAAAGTATTAAGAAGATATCCAAAGATATACAAATCTTTTATACTAGTGTTCTCCTTTGCTTTTGGGGGAAAGTTTGAAGTCATGTAGAAATAACACCTATTGGGATTAAAAATAGGCTTGAATCGTTTTTCGCAGGCACCTGGGAGGTGAGATCAGCTGAGGCAGAGGGAAGTCTAATGAACCTTGGTCCACTGAGGTGAGGCAAAAATTGTTTTGAAATTGGAGGACTGGGCCGACAGAGTTTAATACCTTCTTTTCACGGGCAATCCTCTCAGCTCTCTTGGTGGCTACCTGGGTGGGTGACATGGGCTTCTCGTAGTTTATACCGTGATCGTTCAACACTGCACTGTGCTTGGGGTTCTTCAGCAAGGGATTGTTCAACCTGCGAAAGTACCACATAATTCATATGCTTTCACAAAGGCAAGGCTTAAAACATGAGGGATTTCAACCATCTTGTTGGAACAGTCTCAGGCAATTAAAATTCAGTTCACTTCCCAACGTTGCACTTTATATGCAGGACAGTCATCTACAGTCTGACCAGTCAAACTCAATCAACATACAACAGTAGGCAACTGGTAGACAAAGCCAGCTCATCAATCATTGACACAGCACAGCTGTATCAACGTATATCAACAGTCACCGCCAGTCAATTCTGCTTCTGTAAGTGAGGGAATCTAAACTATTGAAAACAGTCACTTGGCTGGTTTTGACAGACAGGACGTTTTGCTGAATGCACATTCTCATAAGAGGATCTATCAAACTAGGGTCAATCCCAGTTGCAAACACCTCTCGGGAACTCCAAGAAAGCACTCAGGTGAGGCAGGTGATTATGATGCAAATTCGGTCTTTTCATTTCTTGGCAACACACAAAAGCCAATCACCATATACACAAGAGCCAGGGTATGCCTTCTTTCACCGTGTTTGCTCAAGCGTGGGCCGGGAATAATAGCTGAAAAGCGGGTAGAGGATCTCACTTTTTATGGCGGCTCTTACCATCTCCCGGCGTGAAGGGGTTAAAAAGTAACAATTTGGAAATAGTGTTGTAGTACATGTATCTCCTGCTCACAGGCTCTATTTGAGCAGAAGGCTGAATAATTATCAGATCTGGAGATTGGAAAACAACTGTACTCAGACCGTGAAATTCAATCCACACTTCCACAGGATTCCCTCTGTGGCCGAAATTTACAATGGACATTGGTGCGCCGCTGTGCGCCTTGTGTGAGAGAGGAATTTCCCTATTCATACTGCTCGTTAACATAATAGTTATGGTCTGGGGGCAGCGCTGCGCCGCGAGTAGAGGGTGGACAGGTGACTTGGATAAATGCGCTGTGGGGTGCCGCAGCGGCTTGCTGATAAAAATCTTTTTGACATCGTACCTAAGTAAGGCTGCAAAATGTGCCCTAACAATGAGCCATGGTAATTGAAGAAAGCAAGGTCATTCGGGAAAAGCATGGGCGCGAGTCCACACAGGGCAGCGCTGACAGATCAGACCTTGGACACACACTTTATTTTATGCATGTGCAGTTGGAACACCAAACTGGCTCACTTTTCACTTCATGTACAGGCAAATATGGAATCCAAAACCTTCGACCTCCACGCCCGCCTGACCCATCAGTCGAACACTGTGAACCGCCTACTTACACCTGTTTGAGGTAGGGCTGTCTCTTGCCGATCACCGTCTTGAGCAGGTCAAACTTGTTGGAGTAGAACATGGTGTGGGAGGCGTTGCCGTCCTGGGTGTGGAGCTGGCTGGTCTTCATGGGCCGATTGTTCTTGGTCTGCTGGGGGAGGGAATCCACGGAAGATGTCAATGACGGGCCGAGATTGGGAGATGATGAACAACAACGAGAATATAGATATTTTGCAGGACTGAGGACATGCAACCTACCTGACATAGCTCTACTTGGGGCTTGGAGATCCCCAGAAGGGTCAGACCGCACAAAGACTAGTTTTCCCTACGATAAAGGCTTACAGAGGATTTAAGAAGGATTCTGGTACACATGCCTTGGGCTGAAGATCAGACATGAAGTCAAGCCTTACCCTGTATATCCCCTTGGACTTCTTCTGCTTCTTGGGGTTGGTGTCGTAGAGGATCTTGCCCTCCTCCCGCGGGATGATCACACTCTCATAGCGGTGGCGGCACTGCTTCGGCGAGCGGTAGATGCGGCTGGTGCCATTGACGATATCACTGACCAGGTCCCAGTTGATAATGTGGCCTGGGACAACGGCCTGGAGAGTGAGCGGGAGCTCCTGTAGGGCTTGGACGGCCTTAGGAGTTGGGGGGAGGGTTAAGGGGGGGGGGAAGGGAGTAATCAATCGGAAACAAGGATTCCAAAGTGAGAATGGGGTACAAGTTGGGTGAGTGGGCTTGTACGGTTTAACTACAGAGGATAGATGTGCGAGGGGAACCCAGATTTTGTCACATCCTTGATAGTCAACCTTACTCCGTGGGGGTACGTTAGGATCAAGGGAAAACATAATGCCTTGTCCTCAGAGATACAGCAGTTCCCCACTGTGTGCTGTGTGTGTGTGCAGCTAGTAGGGTCGGGAGTGATAAAGTACTGTGGTCAATATTCCCCCAAGTCCAGTAAATTTACTAAGCTGATTTGTGTTGTGCGAGTAAGGCTGGGAAAATAGGCAGTCGGAGTGTTCAGGTTTTGAGTACAGATACGAATCTAAGCAATATGGGGCCAAAAATAAGCTACAAAAGGGTAAGAGTGCAGGAAAGGGATTCCAACCTGAGCGACGGTGAGTTCTGAAAAAATTGCTGCAAACCCGAAGCTGCATGCCAGTGTTATACACTCACTGAAAGTCTCATAAAGCCCGGGTGCTCTTTGTTAGATTTCAATTTCACCATACACTTCAGTACGCTTTCGCAAAAGTGCATGAACTGCCTAAAAATTTACAATTTCTGTTGCATTACTCTTTGGCAGAGTTAACTTGTTTTACGCGAACATTCCATTCTAGTGGAAATTCCACAAAAATTAGGCTGTGGCTATATGTATGCGACTATTCACAGTTGTGTAGTCAGGAAACTCAATACTGTAGTCTGAACATGTATTCGACACAGATATACACTCATTTTTCACACTTGGCTTCCATTTAGACAATAGATATATCCAAGTCGAATAATATTTTCAAGTAATTTCACCTAAACCCCTCTTTGAAACTGGTTGTGCTTTCCTCAAATCTTTTAATCCCTGAAAAAATAATATCTTCATGATGTCCACAAAGCATCAACATCTAACGCTACTTCGGTAACGGGACCCTTTGATTATCTCAGATGAGAGATGACGACAGAAACACAGACACACAAACAGACAGATAGGCCACACAACACACCTGCAGCAAGGCCCAGTCCTCGTTTATCAGCCACTCGTGCCGGTCAGCGGTCTGCATGTCGGTGGAGGTGGCCCGGTGCACAATGGGCAGCGGCTTGACCACGGGCTTGCCGGCCATGGCCCGCAGCTTCTGCTGCTTGGCCTCCCGCCGCATGCGCAGCAGGGCGGCTGAGGGCCGGTTGAAGAGAGACTGAGGTGGGGTCATGATGTGCGCTGTGTGGTGGGGGGCCTCGCCCGACTTGGTGTGAGGCTTGATCTTGCGGATTCCTGCTCACAATGAAATAAGAAAAACAACATTTCAAACTTAACCTGTATCTTGGTTTTAATAGGTGGACCTGTTTGACCATCTATGGAATATTATTCATTCATTTATCCTTATTCATTCATCCTTTTCCTTTCATTTCTGAAATTACTTATTTTTTACGTTAACTTGTACTACGCTGATCATTTTTATGGAAACGGTGCATTATACATTTTCAATTATTAATCTTGATTCAAGCTGGATGTGTGTACAAGGACATCAACGTATGTCGGCCTGTGCATTCAGCATAGTCATTGGGAAGTCATATTTTGGCCTACCAATCTTGGTCAGATGGACAGTGTACGTCAGATTTGTCATTTAATTGATATCAAATGACCAAAACATATCAGGGAGAATACTCCTGAAGGCTAAGCAAATGTACTTGTGTGAAAACGTGCATTTTTTTCAAAGAATGCCAACTACATTTCTCTCTCTCTGTACACACCCTTCTTTGGCTGAGAGTCCAAAAACTCAACTCTGGATTAATTGACTTTTTATTTCAGCTCTCAGGCAGTCAAAAAGTAGATAGTGCGTGTCCCATTCTTTTCAATAAATGAGCCCATACACTTCCAATCAATTCTCTCTAATATGTGTAAACACCTCCCACTTAAAACGTCCCTTGTGGAGCAACTATGCAGTGATGGTACCTTGTTCTACTTTCGCCTTCTTGTGTTCTTTCTTGACGTAGACTTGGGGCAGTTTGGATTCCATCATAATGGTGCTTTCATACATCAGGCTGCACGAGTAGTCTATGTAGATATCATTCTCATCTTGGGGTGGGGTGGGCGGAGCCCAGATCTGCATCCAAATTTAAAATGTAGGCGGGGCCATGAGATTCTAAGGGCTTTAGGAATTGAGACCAAATTAGGGTTATCCGGGGAGCCATCTTGCTCAATACGTTACAGCATTTTGGGTTGGTACCTTGTCTCATTCCAACTATTCATCTATTGTGCAACAGAGGTGGCACTGTGTAGTGATCTGGACGGAAAATGTAATTTTATGTTAGACACGTTCTTCACCAATTGTATATTATTCCACAGGATTATTCACTGACTCGAATTGCAAAAAACCTGCTTTTTTACAGCTGTAAGCAAGGAATGAATGCTGGAGCCACGAAAGGCCCAGACTAGCCAGTTATGTGCAAGTCCTAGGCTGTCTCTGAAAGCTGAAGCCATAGCCACTAAATACTTGATTCAGACATAGCCTGAGACCATCAAGGCCTGGGAAATTACATACACATGGACCGAGTCCACCGACAAGCATGGGTGGCAGTCAGAGCTCACAAGGTTTTCAGTCTACTTTTCAACAGAGAGTAACTTTAGTTTATCAGCGCGTCTGTGTACTAATGTCACTTCATAAACACGTACACTGTCCTATGGGGCCAAATTGGTCCACTGTGCATAAAGGAAAGTGCATAACGTGTGGCATCACAAGTCCTGAGATCAAATTTCTAGAACCAGATGTTTTTAAACAAATCTTGCACCAACTGTGCCTAAAGCGGAAATTAATGTGATGTGAATGCATCTCTTCCCAAGAAAGCACCATGAAATATAATGAAATGGCTAGGCAGAGGTTTCTTTCATCATGAGCTGTTTTTTGCAAAAATTCTACATTTCACTTACCGGCATAATGTCATCTTTGTTGGAAATGTACACCTACGTAGAGAAAATAAACAAGGCATCCAAGATAATTTCAATATGTCATCATGCATACCAGCAGTGGTACACAAGCCATTGAGTAAGGCTCCATCTTCAAATAATTCAACATAGATTCATCTTCTGGCAGACCCCAAATTGCCAAAACGGGACAGAAAATGTTGTCAGGTAAATGACAGTGATGTTACACTATTTGGGTGGTACATGTCTTTAGATCTGGTACTTGACTTGCCAATCAAATGAACATCTCCTTGTGTGCTTATATGGTTGTTAGTTTACACAATGTTTTTGTACCCATTTGACGATGCGTAAATGTAACAAGAATTGTGGGCGGTCCAAACTTTTGAATGAGACAGCTCCATGGAATGTGTTCTGATTCATTTATGGTATCCAGGCCTTGCACCGGTTTCTGTTCACTACCAGCCAAGCCTGGGGTTGCTCTAGCTGACCGGGCAAATTGAGAAGCAAGATTTTTTAGCCTGCAGCAATTGTTACTTGTGACACCCCCAAACCCGACCCTGTACGGAGTATAATGATCACCGAGTAATTCACAGGGAGGGGAATTCATGTCAAATTGTGGAGTCCATTTGAATTAACCCTAGGTGAACCATAAAAGTGCACTCTCAGTCATGACCAGAGATTGAAAAAGAATCCTATTAAACTCATTTCTGCTTTCCTGGTTTCCTGTCCAACAACTGTGTTTCCAATTTCTTGCCCCTTTCTTGGGCATGAGCAGGTTTAATGGTGTGTGAAATTAATATCTTGGTAAAATGGAGCGGTACCAAGGTAGTTACTCACTTCTCCCCCACTGGAAGATCATGGATTTATAATAGTCTATGCTTTCCTTCATTTTCTTGTGCATTTCTTTCACTTTACCCCCCCCCCTTCACCAAATGAACAGCGGTTTTCAGCCCCAAATTTCACATTACAAGCTAGACATTACTCGGTTGAAAAAAATGTGACCTTGTCTGCCGACCTTTAAAACTGAAGCAATCTTCTGTGAACCCGATTACTGTTGGCTGTTCTTCCAGAAGCCTCCACTATGATCTTCCCAAATCTGGATCTACAGATCTCTCTTAATCTCAACTTTTCACACAGGATGGTATAAAACGTTTATCTTTTTTTCCCCAGTGACTGTGCATGAGATTGTGTGACGTATCAATGACTTGTAGTTACAAAAACACTTGGTCTCCTTGGCCAAAGAAATTTGCTGATGCATTTTGCCAAGATGTTTCTCTGTACACAGCTCATGTCATTGAAATTGGTCATTGCTGGGACCATTTAAAGTGTTCTTTTCGTGCTGAAAGCACTTTTCTGAGAATTAAAAAATCAGGACCTCTTTTTGCCATAAATTCTATGAAATGGGGAGGGGGAATCAAAGCATCCTGAATGTTTCACACCACTGGAAAGGTTTTGAAATAAGTCTTTCGTGAGTTGCATTTGACTAAAATCTGGTACACTGAGTTCACATGAACATAAATTGAATTCTCCACACTTACAGACACTGTTGCTATACCCTGTTTTTCACAGCAAGCTTTTGCTTTAATAGATACATGAGACACCTTGGACCAACAGGTATAGCAACAGTCTTTAGTGTGGAGAATTAAAATTATGGTCATCAGCAAATCGCATAATTCAGTGCACCAGATTTATTCCAATTTTATGACTCGCAAAAGGCTAATTGCCTTTTCCTCTAAAAGTGGGTTACACCTTTTTAGTCAGTTTATGCTGTTCATCATCCTAGTGGTTTTCCAATAAGTGTTGATAGTTTAAATTGCCCAGTTTGGCTAATTTTTTTCATGCGTGTCCTAAATTCCTGTATGTGCAATTTGCAATTATCAATGCGTTTATAATTTGTTGCCATTTGTCGAGTCAGTCGCCCCATGAAGCACCCATTCCCTGGCCAAAAATCATATCTCTACCTCCAATGGTTTTCAGTTGTTGCTCAGAATGGCACAGGCAAGCAGTTTTTTCTCGAAATCATGGCCATTAAGTGTAAAGAACAGCAAGGTGTTTTGGTACAAAGCCACATGTGCACAAATAATTTGGCACTCTAGAATTTGAGACACTGCGCAAAGATGTACTTTTTGTTACTTGGAGAGAGAGCGTGATTTTGGGCCAGGGTGCGCATTGTAGCAGGCGACCACTTTGCAACATGATTGGCTGGGCCAAGGTCACATGATATCAGTTCCAAGTTCAGGTCACATCCTGCAGACATGACAAACTGGAGCTGGTTTTAGTTACAGGAATTACAATTGGAGTTGGTCTGTTTGTTTCAAATGTGCTGGTTCTTTCCAAGTTTTGTTTTTGATTTCTTCTTCTTCTTTTCACCAAGCCTGGCCAAAGTCAGAGCACAAAACCAAAGGAAGTAAAGACGGGAACCTTTTTCACTTTCTTTCCTTGAACATAAATCTGTGGTTTATTTCATCCCATCCATCTTTTCCTGCTCATCAATACAAAAATACTGGAAAACACATATTAGCAAAATAATCATTCATCGTGCTCTTAAATCTAAAGGTGCCCTAGACACTGACTCATGAATAATACAGCCACTCAACCCAGTGATGGATGCTTCCGATAAACTCAAGGAATGACATGGCCGTTGGTCTATCCGCCCTGAGCTGAAGTGCACCCCCAATCGGCAAAAAAAAGACAGGTGGTTACAAGTGGGTTCTCGCACATGTTCTGCGTGTACACAAAGACCATACATGCTAGAATAAATTAGTTACGTGTACTCAGCGTGCTCCGTGTCCAACGTGCATATACTTGCACGCCTTATGGCTCGCCTATGTGGTGAGTACCAAAAAAACAAGTCCTCTTTTGTTCTGCTCGGAGCGGATTGACTTTGAAATAAATTACTGAACCCTGCCAGACACAAACTCATGAAAAGGAACTGTATTTACCCTCAACCCTCCTAGAACCTTCAAAATCCACCAGATAATTCTCTAGGATTGAGGAAGGTCCATCTCACCCACTTTTGCTAATAAATGTGACGATATATCCCTCAAGTTCAGGTTGGGAGCTATGACGAATTTGAACCATTAGATAGAGTTCTTTGTGACTGCAGTCAGTCACTTCCCTATTCAACTGACCCTTTATTCTAAAGCTTAGGTCGATCTACGAGAAAAAAAATCTCTATTCCAAACAAAAAAAATTCAATGCTGAAAATGGGAGGGGGCGGGCAATTTTCTCACTGCTTAATAACTTACTCAGGTTGAAAACATGTTACCTTTGGAGAATAATTTGGAACAATCTAATCTTTGGGTTACTTTGTACTTGCTTAACACTTCAGTTGGTAAATACAAGTACCGTGAATCAACAGCATAATACCATTCCACAACTTATGAACACCTGTTTATAAGAATGTTAGAAAAAAAAGGGACATACTCCAAAACATTAAATGGAAGCAGTGTAAAAATTCATATTCTGGAAATTAGATTAAGAAAGCACTGAGGACCTAGTAATTAAGATGTGCCCAGGCTTGCAGTTTCATTTATCGTAATGAAAAAAAAATGAAGTACAGTGTACAAGTTTTTATGGATATAGGTCAAAATATCTTAAAGGTTTTGCCCCTTTTGTAGATGACCTATTGTAGACAGGTGCCAAGACAACCAGCCAGCCTAAAAGCACATTTAAAGCATTTAAATATAACCCAATGCATTTGCATGAATTAAAGGCTTTGACTGTACTTTGTAAGACAAAATTTCAAGAGCAACAATTCTTTCACCTTTTCCAGGCTGGAATATTCAGAACACACAACTTTGGTCATTGAGTACAACCACCTTATACAAATAACCACCACTATTTCTCTTCATAACTTAATGAGTAAAGTGAACTAGTCATCATCTCACTTGTGTCAACTGTGCTCTGGGTACTTTCTAGGGCGTCCCCTTCCCCGTTTCATCGCTGTATTTTTGTCTGCAGAACTTGATGACCCACCCCTTGCAGGTGACACATCCCTAGAATTTGTAGCAGAGCTGCTCCTGGAGCTAGCCCTGGACAAACTCTTTTTGGACTTTAAATCCCTAAAGGGCAAGGCAGGGCTGGCAGATTTGTGCCGGCTGCGTGAACGCGTCTGTATTAGCTTATCTGCTAACTCGGCACCACTCATAGCGCGGGTGCGAGGCCCGGTGCTTTCCCGAGCATCATCTGCTCGAGACAGCTGGATTTTGGCCAGTTTTTTTGCCAGCGCAGCCTTGGCAAGCTGCTGGGAGGACGGCGCTTCTGCGGCTACATTCGGGGATGACATGTCCTTAGGTGGGCCCTGGGCAGAATTTCTTACGGGGGTTGACGATTGCAACAAGCCGTCAGAGGGTGCTGTGGCATGGTCTGACTCGGTCTGAGAGTTTTCAAGCTGACCGGCTGGCACTGTTGTGGATGGTTGAGGAGATTTGGAAATAGTCAGATCAAACGGCATTGGTAGTAGGGAAGCAGAAGACCGCGAGACAACGTGAGTTGGGGAAAGAGGGAGAGCTGGGGAAGCAGATGGGGGCGACTTCATCATGGAAGAGAGCACTTGGAATATGTTGCGCTGCTCTTGGCTTTCCTCTCTGCGATCAGGCTCTGCTGGTTTGGTGAAAGAATTCTGCCTCATCTCTTCAAGCAGATTACTCTTAGAGTTTATATGAACCTTGACTTGATTTGAATCTTGCCTTGGAAGCAGATGTGAAACATGGTTGTCCTTTTGCTGTGGCTGGCTGCTTGAGGAATGGGTTGCATTGTTATTAAGCAGGGCATTCGGGGTCAACAGAGGAAGGTCAAATATGCATCTCTCCATGCTAGGCGACGGCCCAGATGTGGCTGTCGATTCCCGATCTGATGAAGATCTCAATGCCACACTCAAAGGATTGACATTATGCTGTTGGGGTGACAGGTCAAGCGGCTCTGGGGAGTAGGATAGGGCTGGTGATTTTGGAAGAGGTGGTGACTGCGAGTTTGGAGAGGACTGAGTAGAGGGTGGAGAGTGCGTTGGGTGTGGGGACATCCTCTGGGGAAAGGACAGAGGGGTCGGTTTGCCTGCATGTGTAGGTGTAGTCTCTGGAGACGAAGTACTATGGATGGGAGATAATGTTTGAGGAGTTGCATCTTCACTGGGCAACTGCTCTGATGAGGGGGTGTCATGTCTCTCCACACTTTGCTTCAGCTGCGACAAAGCCACTGCAAGTGAGTGATCCGAATCCAAGGGAGGTTCCACGTGCTCCATCAAAACATGCGGTTCTGACTGAGCAGAAGGCCCAGTCTGATTGGGGGACTGCAGATGAGAGTCAGCTTGGGCGGAAGATGCAGTCTGCTCAGGCAAGGCTAGGGCAGGCGGTGAGGCCTGTGGCACTTGCTCCGATTCTGCCTTTAACTCGGACTGTAACTGGGTTTGCGGCTCACTTGACTTGGCCGCACCTACACGAGGCTGGGGAGTGAGTTGGGGTGGACTTAAAGAACTGGCTACTTCTGCATGGCTAGGTATCTGAATATCGGAAAGCTTTGGAGGGGTTACTGGGGCATCTCTTGATTGTAAGCCCATAGCAGCCTGCGACACCTCACAGGAGGACTGCTGACCTTGCATTGCTGGTGCTATTTCCTTAACTGATTGCGAGGTCATTAACGATTCTTCTGCTCCTTGAGGTAATGCTTTGGTGTGAGGAGATGAGAGCCTCTCAAACAGGATCCCCGACTGTACAGGTTCTGGAGCTGTTTGCAACTGCTGGGACCTCGACGCAGCAGTTTGCTGCTGGGACAGTGGTTGTTGTACAGTGGGTTTCTGGGTTTGGGCATTTTGAGAAGCCTGTGTTGTCAGTTGTGTCTGGGGCTGAGCTGTGAAATTGTGGGACAAGGGGACGGCAGAAGGTACTACCAATGTCTGAGAGAGGTTTCGCGATCCAGATGGTGATTGTGCTGGAGCTCGGGGTTTCTGAGGTGCCAAGGTCTGGGCTAACGACTGTGCCATGGTTTGTAGCCTGGGTTGCTGCTGGGACTGGGAATGCAACTGCAACAGGACCTGGGGATTTATCACTGGCGTCGGCAGCCGAACAGCATGTGGCAGTCGCTGTAGTGGTAGCTTTTGCTGGTTCCTTGGATCAGCTACCTGTATGCAGGTCATCACCTCTGAGCTGCAACTGGCCGGCAGCTGAGGCTGCCTGCCTGGCAAGACTTCGATACGAGCAAAAATTGGTTGACCCTGTTGCCTGGGTGGGGTTTGTGACATGGATGGTGAACGCAGCCGAGCTGATCTCAGAATCTGCTGATTTGCTAACACCTGCGTCTGGACTAGAGGTGGTGGGGGTCTTGATAGAGAGAGACGAAGAGCAGGCGTCTGGGACTGAGATGATGCTCTTGACTGTGATAGCATTTGAAGACGTGCCAAGATCGGCATTTGCGATGGTGACTGTGACTGCGGCTGTGGTGAGGCTGAAGTCTTCTGGGAGGTTGCAGCGGCCGCCTGAGACTGCTGTTGAATTTGTAGCCGATACTGCTGCTGAAACAAAGGCACACGCTGTGCTTGTGGGCGTGGATGTCTCTGTAATGGCATTGGTTGCAAAGGTGGAGGGTTGCGAAGCCTCTGAGGCTGACCGGGCAAACCAAGCCGAGACGAAACCCCTGGAGTATTGGGCTGCACAAGCTTCACAGGGCCTAAGTTGGGTCGAGTTATGCCAAGTGACAGGAGCTGGGAAGCAGTCAGTGACTGAACACCAGGTGCAGACGAAAACACCACAACAGGATTCCGTTGGACAAGGGATTCCGGACTGGGAGCAGGACTGCGATGGCTGCTGGGATGAGATGTGCGAACTGGGGGATTCTCTGCTGGTACAGGAGCAGATGAGTTTGGGGAAGACAGCGGATGCCTGGGTATCAGCAGAGGAACAGAGGGGAGGGTTGATTTTGGCTGAGGTGTGGCACTGCCATCAGCTGTCAGGCGAGATATCAAGCCAGGCATGGGAGGCAAGTCGGGATTGGTGGGGTGCTGGGACTGCTTGGAACGAGGAGAAAGGTTGAGTGGCTGGACACCGATATTGTATGCCAAGGTTGAAGACACAGTGGGGTTGTTTGACAGCTCATGGTCAACACTCTCTAGTATATGCTTTTCCACCACCTCTTCGGGCTTAATGTCCTGTTTTGGCGGCATGGACAGGTCCACTGGTGTTGCTCTTGTTGACACAATAGCATGGCTTCTGACAGATAAATCCATTGGCGCACTCCTGCCTGTTTCGTCTTGATGCTGTCGCTTTGCGGCCATTTCCGAGCCCTGCTTGGTCTCTGGCTCTTTAGGTGCATCCGACTTCTGCCCTTTAGACTTCTGCTTTGGCTTCCCCATGTCACTCTTCTCTGGCAGTGATTTTGCAGATGTTGTCCTCTTGGCAACGGGTCTGGCCGGAGCTAACCGGGCCAAGGGGGATCTTGGGGATAGGACCGCAGTCGCAGGTGGGACAGGGGGTGGGGACTTGGTGGTGCCTGATCTCGTCACGGGCGACTTGGGACCTGCATCGTCTGCTTCAAGATCTGGCTTTGGGTTGCGCCGTGTGCTGCGCCCAGCACTTGCTGGGGCACTGCGTTTAGTTCGCTCTGCGCTGCCCGAACGGCTGCTTGCCCTGCTGCTCTTTTGGCTCCTACCCCGGGAACTGCCGCCCTGATTCTGCCTAGATTTAGACCTACTCTTATGCACCTTATTCTTTGCCTCCTCATCACAGTAGGTGAAGAATATCTCGTCCTCTTCCTGCTCGGCCTTACGTTCCTCCTCCTCCTTCAGGGCCTGAAGACGTTCCAGCTCCCATTCCTTCTTGGCCAACATGACCTGCTCCTGATTTGTTACAATCGAAAAGAGAAACCAGAACATCAGCAGGATAATTTTTTACCTTAACCTTCCTCAGCTGCCAATAGTCTAAGTCATTTTGAAGTCCATCTAGATTCAACATTCCCCGGGATGGATTGTTACACCACCCGACTAATGCAGAAAGGTTAGCAGAAGGGTTCGTTTTGACTTGATTTCTCCCACCGGAAGTGTTATTAGGGTTCAGGTCAATGGCTATAGCCAATTTATGTCTGCCTGGCATTCTGTTTTAGAATGGACTCTCAGCAAAGAACGAGCCATATCAGAGGCTAGTCAGTGTCTCTTCATATTTATCAATCAGAGACCTCAACTAAGTGTCATCACGGTACAGTATACACAACAGAAGCACAGAGAAAGTGCTTCAGTTTGCATACAACTTGTGAGTCCTTGGTCACAAATTACAAGGAAACACTGAAGACCCTTTAGATAGGCCTCTGTCAGCATTTTAACGTGGCAAGTAATTCTTAAACATGGAACAACAGCAAAATCACATCCAGGAGCCGCTGGCATGAAATTGTTGGTTAGCAGATTCACTGTGCACGAAATTTGAGGTTACATAAACTGGATAACATCAGGGCCTGTGCTCTGGTGTTTGCAAAGTTAAACTTTCCCGAGACCAACGAAATCTGGTGTGTCGATGGCCCACATCTATTGGTCCCCCAGGTACTAACCTCTGCCTCCAAGACATCATCCATGGCTGGAGGTTCCATGTTAGCCTCTAGGTACCTCATGGCATACTTCTCAATGTTAGTCAGCTGTCAAGAAAGTAAGAATTTATACTGAATCATTATACCACAAACTAGGCACACAGATGTCATCTGGGCAGCATTAAATTCTGAATCATTAAGGCAAAGCATAAAATTCTCACAGAATCAGACAAAAATATGGGTTGATTATTACTTTTTCGTTTACCTTGCTCTGCGACAGCTTCATTCATATGAGAACTATCCCCCTTAATGATATGCTACACTCATTTCATAAACATTACCAAAGGTTAGAAGATACGCCAAGCTTAACCTAACATAACAATACATATGCTCAAATTCACTCCTTTGCAAATCTTTGCTGTTAGCTTAATGCACGCACTACATGTGGAGAGTTTTGGCACGTGCTGCTGAGCGGCAAGAAAAACAGTAACAGTCACCGGCAAAGTCAACAAGTCAAGAAAAATCTCTCAAGAAATGCGCTGCCAGTGCACGAGTGGACTACCTGCTCGTCCAGCTGGGCCAACTCAATCTCAATTCGGGACACCTCCTCCTTAGGCTTGGTCTCCTCCCCCTCGTAGGGTATGGTTTCGTCAAACTCAGCCAGCTCGGCATCCTGCTCTGCCAGGGCCTTGGAGGTGGCCTTAACATCAGTCTCGTCCTCTGTCTTGGCAAGGGCCTAAAGAAAAGAGGGAAAAAAAAAGTAGAGTCGCAGCTGGAAAAAACTACACAGCTTAGCCTAACTAAAGAAAGCACATAAAAAAAATCAGTAGAAAATGTCAAAAAACTTGGTCCAACTCTACTGCTATGTTGACTGTGGTGGGAATCTAAGCTCAATAAAATACAGCAATCACAGACAGAGAAGGCCGTGGCCCTGCATTGTATTCGCATATTTTGATGAACTTGGATCCACCCTTGGTTGACTGGCCTGTGTTAGTGGATTTTGGCCTGGCACACAAGATTGCTAAGCAACACTATTCACTTCCAAGTTTGAAAACCGAGAACAGACCCAACCTTGGTTACAACCAACCACTATTAACCAGGGTTCTATGCTGAAGTAAAGAAACTAGAGCACAGGGAGAATTCATTTTCAGCAATACATGCAGTGAATCTGTAAAGGCATTACATCTGCACAAGACTGACGCCAGCAGGCATGTATAAAAATAAGCATTCCAAAGAGCTAACACGACATTTTCAACCTCGAGGTTGATTTTTTTCCTTTGCAGAATTATTTCACTCTTAAGAAATGAATTCCAATTTGGTCACTCTCACCTGTTCCAACTGATTCTGCGTGATGGTGTCTTTCTCTTCGCTGACTGGCAGCGCTTTGCTCGGAGCCTGCTCTGGTCTGGTGTTGACTACCAGATCCTCAATGCTGACTGGCTGAACGTCCCTTCGACTGGACAGGTCAAACAGGTCCTTGATGGTGTTCTGCATATATTCAAATGATCAATGAGAAGATAAGTAAAGTGCCCTGGAATGGAACAATGCCAACAATACTGGTACATGGGGCCAATGCTCTGTATATGCACAAACAAATGAGGCCTCCGATGCCATCACCTTCCACGTAGTAAAGTTTGCTGTAATTCAGTCCATTTTCGAGCCGTATCGAGGGTCATCAAGCAACAACTAAATAATGCATGAGTTAAAGACACAGGAGATTTTATTGGAATAAGTCTGGCGTAAATAAAAATAAACACCAACACCACACCACACCAACTACGAGTTTGACTCTCAAAGTGAGAGTTTATGAAGTGCAAAAGAACATTTGAGCCTTCAAAGATGGGGCCCTTGTGACTTCCAGTCAGTGATACGTAGATCAGTGCACGGGTGATCCAGCTCACTGTTTTGCTTTGTTTCTTGTAACAGGACACAGCAAAGATCTCATGTTTACTGACCAGCAACAAGGCACTAAGAGACGCTGGAACAAGCACGTCCATTACAACACAAGAAAAAAATATTAAGTCCTGCTAGAAGTATGTGACACATTTGTATTTGTCACACAGATGAATTTACAACACTCTGTGTAAGATCTTCATTTTTACAAAAAGTTGACATTTATACACGTTGCTGAAGCGAGTTCCTTGGAGGTCAAGGTACTTTTTGACGTTTACTTTGAATCACTGCCCTTGACACTTTGATTTGGTAGGATTTAAATTAGAGGTCCGCTAACCGTTTTGAAGAATGCCGTGGTGAAGTTCCCCCCTTCAATTGACACATCCACAAGGAGTCTCTTCTGGTTGGCCTTCTTCAAGATGTTCTCCTCCACAGTCATCTCGCTGATCAATCTACAATGCCAAAAGAATCAATGCGACGTGTCAACATTGCTTTCAAGGTAGAAAGCCTCCCTCCCTCAGTTTGCGATTGGTTGAAGGTCCTCAGACCTACGGCCACCGTTCACTATTTGATCTTATTTTATTCTGTGGCCCGAATTTTGTTTATGCATTTAAACACAACCAAGGGTTCATTATTCAATCCTATCTCAGGGCATATGTCTTACACTGACTTTCTATGGTTCCCCTGCTGGAAATGGACTCCGTTCTACTCATTACAGAAGAAACCACTAGCATGGATGTGCTCAGACAACTACGAGATTTTGCTCAACAGTGCTTGTCCAGACTCAGAGACTCTAGTCTGATATAAAAAAATCTCAATGTCATCATGGCGGAGGCTGTGGCTTCTGACTGAAAACAGATCTATTCAGCTGGATGAAGAGCTGAAAGGTTGAGTGCAGAGTAGATTAACGGGTGCAGTTAGCCATCCCATTGACTAGTAAATGCACACAAACCGTATCTTTACAAAACATCTTCAAATACAAGGTTTTATTTAACTAACAGCATCAACTCATTCAGTCTCAAGTTGCATTGGTAGCAAATTGTTGGCAGTCACAGCTGCACTTGAAAACGCGCGCACCTGTAAATGTGGACATCCCTGGTTTGGCCGATCCGGTGGCAGCGGTCCTGGGCTTGCGCATCCATGGTGGGGTTCCAGTCGCTGTCGTAGAATATCACGGTGTCTGCACCCGTGAGATTGATACCCAGACCTCCGCTCCGTGTTGACAGGATGAAGCAGAAGATGCGCTTGTCCATGTTGAAGCGGTCCATAAGGAGCTGAAGCGCAAACAAACATGTGTAAAGAACATGAAATGACTTTCACCATCCACCTGTTGATCCTCTTAGACACATTCCCTTCTACTGCCAAACAGTTGGAATTAAAGCAAAGAAACTTCAACTCTAAGTAGAAAGCTTCATATCACAAACAGACAGTCAGGCTTTCCAGAATGTACACTGACACAATGCAAGCTGTTAAATACTTCAAAAAAAGGGGAGTGGTTTAAGTATCACCACTGTATCTCAGGCATGAATTCTGCATGGCATTTTGTCAAGCCACCAGAACAGACCTTGCTGAGAGCCCTGGTGTCCAGGGGGTTGCTTTCCAGCCATAGGACATGACAAGCGGTCACATGATCACCCATCTCCTCACAGAATCCCTGTGGCTGCCTCTGGTGTACTCAACGTTTACTTGTTGATGAATCCACAGGCTACGACACTACACTGGCATATTTTTGGTTGCTTGTGACACAAATACACTTACTGCTGTCGTTAGGGCATTTGAGTGTGATTGTAAGTCCTGCAGCAACATTTGAGTGTAATCCTTTCTCACAAACTATCAGGTTGGCAAACACGGTTATGCATAATGCTAATAGGTTGCTTATGTTACAGCGGCTTGAATAGCGCCTATACTCGTAACAAAAGACCAGACTGCTGGGAATTACCAACATTTTTTCACTCTCAATAGTGGATATTATCCAGCCTTGTTTTGAAACAGTATACCACGGTTTGAGGCATTTAGAGCGAGTGTAAGTGCTGCAAGTACTTTTTCTTGGTGCTGTTCATCTTAATTTATTTTGTTAGAGCAATCACTGGCCTTGACAGAACGTCAATCTAGCCTTTTTACCTGTCTCTGCTCAACCCTGGTGGTGCCGTCCAGTCTGACGTAGATGTGGCCGTGGTAGTTGAGGAAGGCCTCCAGGACGTCCAGCATTCGGGTCATCTGGGTGAAGATCAGGACCCGGTGGCTGCCCACCTTCAGCTTCCGTAGCAGGACGTCCAAAGCTTGAAGCTTACCTACACGTTAAAGTGGACAATGCACCAGCTTGAAAACAAAGGGTTCACGACTGGAGCAACCCACGAGGGAAGGGAGTCGTACAAACTTTAAAATCACTCCCATTCAGTAATTACAGCAGTCAACTGACCACAGGCGAATCTGTATACTAGGCTGCTGAATTTGTTCAGCGACACAGGATTGCTGCTTAGCTGTTCAAGCTCTAAGAAATTTTAAAAAGCCACAAACTTTAAAAAGCAAATTCACAGCAAAAGTGAGGGTAACAGAAAAGTACCCACAGCTGTAATAAGAAGCAACATATCCTCAAAGATTCTCTCTTTTATTATGCTTAGTAGTAAGTGCGGTATTCTCAGACTATTCATAGTTATAGAGCAAGCATTGCTGATTTGAGGAGGCTGTTCTGATGTAAATTTCACGGTCAAGTTTAACAATAGTTCCTTAATTCAAGTCTGAAAATATACTGACCACAGACTATTGGTACACTAACCTGTAGGTTGTGAATAGATATCTCTCATGCTAAAAGTGATGTGTTGTGAAAGTATTCCGACTTACCGCAATCGTACTGGATAAGCCTGAGCTCGGGGAACTGCATGCTCATGCCAGTCTTGATGGGATGCAGGCAGGCCATGGCAGGCGTCAGTTCTCTGCCGAGTGTCTTCCGGAGTATCCTATACTCGTTGGCTGCGGAAGGCGCTGGGTGCGACATGTGCATGGTAATAGGTGGTGCTGTTGCCATGGGCACTACCATCACGAACCTGCGAGTCAATGGAGAGGGTGTCAATCAGGTAGAAGTTCCACAAAGAGGGTTTTCAGGGTTCGAATCTCGTTGGGGCAAACGTGCTCAGACAAACAAGAGATTTCACTCTACAGTCCTTTGGATACGTTCAGAGACTCTAGTCTGATTAATCTCAGTGTCATCATTGCCATGGCCATCACAAATTTCTGACTGGATAAAGTTCCAATTTGTAGCAGACCTATCAAAGGATTTGCTATAAACAAAAGATGGGGGGAAAAAAGAAACCCACAACCTCTTTACTGCTTCTGAGTTTTCAGCCTAACGAAGCATGCCAACTTCTGTGGCTGCTGTTCATTGATTGCCTGTGCTGGAGTGCTCTCATCAAATGCACTTTGTTGCATTTGCCAGGTTAGCGTTAACCATCCCTACAAATTTCAACACCACCGACTTGGAACTTAGACGGAACTGTAGGTGTGATGGCTGTACCTCTTGATGATGTCCCTCAAGTCTTCCAGCACGTCCTCTGGAGTGTGGATGACTTCCTCAAGGGCGTTGGTCTGTGAGTACCTGGCCTCGTACCCGTGGGGGAACGGCAGACCGCGAGCCGCCTGGCAATGGTACAGCCCTACACCGCTGGCAAATGGCTGCTCTCTCCCAGCCGGGTTGGGGCTGTTCAGGATGGAGACGGCTGAGCGTAGGTCGCTGCCATAGACTGGCTTGGCAGCACAGCGCAGCTGATTCAGGCTGGCTATCCTGGCCAGCGTGGCCTTGCGTTCCTCAACCTCTGCCTTGTACATAGACTCCTTTTAATCACAATGGATAACACCAATTTCAGACACAACACTTCACCCCAAATACCAAAACTTTTCTCTGTTCAGTGCATTCTAGCTTCATTTTTTCTCAGTTCCACCTTGCATCTTCTATCATTTCAAGTTTCGAGGTGAGCGAGTGGGAATGGGGTTTGACATATCCCCAAGGTTCGGGGACCATGAGGGTACAGGATCAGACCCCTCACGGCTCGTGCCAAGGAGATTTACTCTAGGCCAAGACACCAATCTGTCAGGTCAGCACTAGTTACTGTATGACAGGGGACACGGCCTGTGAAATGATACAGCTATGTTAAATGGGTTCAGAATTACACAAATCTAGTTTAGTATTGTACAACAAGTGAGATATAAAGAGTCCTTTTTTGGCCCCAACTCCCTCGGGTGATTGACGAGCAATCTTCCAAATCCTTGCAAATCTCAACACCATGTATAAACTGTGCACATAAACAGTTGGACTCTGTTTAATTGCTGTATGCCTGATTCCACATAAAACACAGTCTGTACACTAGTGCAGTACTCATCCCAACAGATTCCTACAGGCTGGTGATGGAATTTGACTGGTTTGGGGTCGTGACAGTTGGTGGCGAGTATGCAAAACATGTAAAGGATGACAAATTTCCAAGACGATCATTTCCTCAAAATGTTTCTGAACTAGACTAAGTTACTTTAACCCCTTCACGGCGGCATTATTTTTGACCACTGGGCTGTGGCATGCCCTGAATGGAGGGCTTTGTCCAGCAGCAGGCCCCATTGAACCAGCAGCTGCATGGTGAATAGACTGTATGTGTGATATGCACTAATGCTCTCACAAAGGTGCTGTATTAGCAGTCATCCATCACGAAGGGGTTAAATTTGAGAATTTCTACCCATAAATCAACTGGCATAGGGAACCTTTCTTTGGGATGACAAAGAAACGCCGTCATGGGTTTCACCAAATGCTGAACACACTTACCAGAAAGAAAGGCGAGTCTTTATTGTGCTTTGTTGATATCTTCCTGGGATGAGATGCTGAGGTCACTGTTGGTTGGCTACCCGATGAGGTTACTGAAGCTGGGGATGGGGGGGTAGAGGAATAAACATTTGACTTGCATTGTCAAAGTATGCTTAGGTGTTCTATTGTTCAGCACTGTAACCCTAACCCCTTCCTTTTGGCTTGAATGCATCCTTGGTATTGCAACATCCTCCAATTGCCCCCACGAGAAAATAACTGGATACCGACTCAATCCAGACACTATTTGAATGTTCCTTGGAGGGGGTGACCACTGCCTGAACCCTTCCAAATTTCTCCGGCAATTCTTGTCACTTGTGTTGAGGCAGGGTGAATAATAATATCCCTGAGTCTTGCGGATGATTTAAAATACAATTAAGGCTTGAATTTATGCATGGCTAAGCGTAAACAGCACAAGGACTATCCAAGGATCACAAGACAATGTGTCCGTTGCAATCAGTCATACCTTAATCCTCCAAAGTCTTTCCAAACTGCCCAGAGGACTTTGGAGACCTGAGGAAGGTCAGGGTCAAAGTTGGTGCCCACTGACTTGCCATCTTATTCTTGAAATAGCACCGACATCAAGTTTTCATTGCAGACCCATGACAAGCCAAAGATGTTTTAATTATACTCCTCCCAGATGCACTGGGAGATTTCAGAGAATTCTCCAACATTGAGGAAGGGTACAGCCGACACACTACTACCTCAAACAAGGCTTGATTCTCCCCTTGAGGTTACACGACACAAGTATGCGGCAATGCTCTCTGGCACAGCAGTAAAGTTTTGAGAATTCCCAATGTGAGGGGTTAGGGTTGAGCTGACTTGGATTAGGAACTTCCAAAATCAAGTTGAGCACAGAGAAATTCAGTATGTTGCACATGCATGAATCTAAGCTTCACCGAGTCCTGGCAACTTGAAAACAAAAGCCAAACCAAGTACAAGACGTGCAAGAAATCTGGAGTGACCTAAATACACAAACCAAAAGGTGTCTAAGTTAGTTTCTAGTGCTATAAACACTTCCTATCTTCAGTAGACACTGTCGTCAAAATGTGCAGTTTACTTATAATCATCATACTTAGCTGAAAAAGAATAAAATGGAGAGGACTGCATACACATGTATCAGGGTGCAAAAATGTTGTGTTAAGCTAAAGTTTCCGCTACCAAAACTATGCCACTTGGAACTCTGATGAGCTGCATCAGAACCAAGGATGTGACACTGATGACTAACATTCAGTCAACGTTTACTTATATTTTTAAATCTTTTAAAGGGAACCCATTTTCCAGATTTGACACTGGATTCGTTCATTTTTAAACAGTCCAAATACATGTTTTCCTCAGAACTGTACTGTGATTTCTTCCTTTCTACACTGGAATACCTCCTTTAGGGGAAAACTGAATTTAAAACAAGAAAAATGACTGATTTTGAATGCCCCATAACATCAATCTAAATTTATACATTAGGACAGCCATGAGCACTAGTGGTGACCAACTGTTGAACATTTCAATATTGAAAGGGTATGAGAAAGTTGTTCTAAAGATTTACCAAATTAAATGTAGCTCCCCGCCCTTAATCAAAATGCCTTTTAAGATTTGGGTCTTTGAAGAGTGATCCGAGGGTGGCATATCTTCTTTGTTGTGCCTGATCGTTTTTCTTCTTTTTCAAGCAGACAGCCATTTCTTGCATTGCTCATTCTGTTTAAATGTACGCAACTACACTCAACAACCTAAACGTGTGTAAGAATTACATTCAATACAAGCTCAAAAGTTGGTATTTCCTTCCCTTCTGTAGAGAGAAGATGTGGTGGCAAGTGTTTCATTACTTCCAGAGATGACATTTCCTAACAGTTCAATGCAGCTATTAATTTCCATGCCCATAAATTCAGACAGGAGACTGATGATAATACACATCAATGACGGTGAAAGAAAAGGGGGAAAAACAAACACAAAACTATGTTGTGATTTTTCTCTGTGAGTATAAAGTCCACCAAACTTCGAGCCTGTTAGAAATGGTGGGGTGTTATTAATTGCAAAAGCACAGACTAAATCAGAAAACTTCTGAGAGTGGAACACACCGTGGCAACCTCAGCCTTCTTCCCAGAAACACAAGGGCATTAGTAGAAAACTTAAAGTGAATGGGTTAGTGGAATGGCCCCCCCCAAATTGTGTTTTTTCTAATTGTGTTAGCAGATGGATGGAACAAAAGTCTTTCTCTCTGTTGAAAGCGATCTACCTGTGGGGCCTCCGGTAGCCTTGGCTATGCTTAGTCTGCTCAGGGGTCGGATTTTTAGGACTGGCTGCATGACAGGGGCCGGGGTTGGCGGGGCGGACTCAGACTCCCCTGCGCAACTAGTGCTACCCCCTACCCCCGGGGAGGGTTGGACCTGCACGGGGGCATGGGGACGAATGGCCACGAGGGGTGGTGGCGAGGTCACGCTGGTATAGAGTGTCGCTGAAATGGTGCAGAGGAGGAAATGAGTAGTAATAAGTCTGAAGATGTTCGAAATATACCTGTCAAGGGGTTTCCTTTGGAGGTGACAGGTTTAAATAATTGGGGGTTACTGTAAGTCTGTTGACACATCAGGAAAAGGTGTTAAAAGAAACTTCAAGCATTTATAAGTAAGAAAAGCGCCTCAAACAAAACCATATTTTTCACTACGCAAAATGTTTTGAATACCCAAGTCTGAGAAGGTACGGGACGAGCACCAGATATGAATGAACACTGACATGAACAACCACACCATGCACAAGCGGCAAGTCGACACAAAGCATGTGAGGCATGAGTGTCAGGCAGCCAACAGAAATCCCAGCGTGTGGCATTCCATGGATGAAAACAATCACGGCGCAATGCAGTGAAAACAGTGAGGGGCCTCTCAATGTCACACAGCTCAACAATCAGCTCTGCTTTGGGTGGCTTATTTCCCAAAACCACTGCTCCTGGCAATCCCTCTGATTTCTCTCACACAGAAGGGAATGAGGGGGAGGTATTTCAGTGACGTACCTGCTGTTGTTTTTGCTACTGGCTCTGTCACCTCTGGTTTCGTGACGCCGGATGTCTTGGAGGGCTCTTTTGGTTTCAAAGGCATTCCTGCTTGCGCTGATGAACTTGAAAGTGCCGAGGTCACCACAGTCTGAACAGAATTGGTCAGGCTAACAGTCACACTGACCATGGGTGCCACAGAGGCAATTGGCTTAGTCACTTGTTGTGAAGTTGTACTAAGGGCCTGGGACAATGGTATCGACATGGTGGTGGAGGCTTGGGATGCTGCCGCTTGCGTCTGCAGTTTCTGTTGCTGTTGGCGCTGCTCCAACTGCTGCCTCTGGAACTGTGCGAGTACTGTCTGAAGCTGCTGTGACTGGCTTGCAGTGCCAGCTGGGCCCGAGGACAGCGACGCCTGCGTCACCGCCTGCGCCAGGGCCTGTATGACCGTCTGCGCCTGGCTCAGCGCCAGGGTAGTGGTGGTTTGGGTCGTTGTTGCTGCTGCTGCTGCTGTACCCTGCTGGAGGATGCCGCGGGGGATCTGCGGCGAGGTGGCCTGCAGGGTCATCTGGATGGGTACCGGGCTGGAGCGCGACTGGTTCTGCTGCTGCTGCTGTGAGACGGCAGGTGAAGAGGCTAGTCGCACGGCAGGTCTCAAAACCTGATGACCACTGGATGTCTGAACGATTTGGACAATACCACCTGAAAACACATGCACAACTGTAAGGTCAAATATTTCATTGCTATATACAGTGGACAACAACAGAGTCCCTGAATTGTACACTCCACAACATAAATGCAAAACTTGATACTAACAAGGCCGGAAATAACCTTTTTAAAAAGACAGCAAAACTACTAGAGGGAAAAATTGGTGTCGACAAACTCGCAATGCACAGAGCAACTTACATGGAGAGAGTAATTCCTTTGTTCAAGTTAGAAAAAGTGCAGTTTTTCAACGGATTTCATTTATGGCTGTATATCCTCTCCACACAAAATGACAAACATTTCTGTAATTTAAAAGCAGCTTGAGGTAGTGTTCATCTCTTGAATGGACAGCATGAATTTCTATGCATTCAGATGAAAACTGGTCATTCGTTCTTTGCTCATAACCTACACATGAACCAGTAGGCATGTGCCATGTGCCATTCAACGACTATTGTGAGGTCATCTAAAGATTTGTTTACATAGGTCGAGATCCATTTGCCCCGTCTTCACTGTCCGTCCTAATTCTGATTCTTAACATGAAACGAAGAAAACTTGCCCTGCGACATCGGTCTGATTTGGCTGGCCGGCAGTCTGATAGTTGTGCCCGGTCCACCTGACGCACCTTGGAGCTGGACCGTGATGGGTTGTGTGGTTATGAACTGGCCCCTTCCAGCACCAGATGTCTGCAAATACAAAGGCAGAATGGTGCTGGTTAGGCTGCAGCTATGGAGCAAGTAAATGGAGGTTCCTTACATATTCAAGGGTGAAGTTCTACTACACATGAATACACTGGTGTTTTCAACGTGAACTTCTACAGGTCTACCAAACTTGATCGCATCTGTGCCAAGTCTAACCTCGTGGGAAAAGCTTTCAGAGAGGTATTAAACACTGTCCCGTTGCAGTCTCTTTCTTTTCACAATTTTGACACCTGTCACGTCGCTCGCATCTAACAGCTCCAGACCCACCCAGGCTAACAATCCACATGCAACTCATTCTCTGTGGTATATCACTTATCCTACACAAGACCCCAACTAGCACCGCTCACCTGCTGTTGTAGATAGAACCGCTGCTGCCCAGAGGCTGAGCCTGCTGAGGAGATCACCACCCCTGTGTACCCTGGCAGCTGCTGTAGGGGGGTGCTACTGGGGACCGAGGGGTGCGAGACCAGCGTCAATGAGGGCACACCCGAGGTGGACGTGGTGGTGGCCAGAGACAGAGAAACACTGGGGGAGCTCCTTCCATCTAGGACTATGCCTGTTGGTAGATCACATTTGTCCATTCATCTTTGTATTTTTCAAAATTCTGTCTGCTCACGCAACCTCTGCACGTTCTGCCAAATCCGACAATGTGCTATGCACACGTGGTACACTCTCCGTGCTTGAATGGCCTCAGGTATGTCAACTCCATGTAAAGTTACGGCATCTGGGTTAAGCACTAGATATATCCCATGCAAAACTAAACATGGCATGACACCTATACAGGCTCAAAATGAGTTATTGTAACACTCAAATAAAATTCTGTGTCATTTCTAATGTGATTTCATAATTGAGAACGACGCGCCTGATATTGCACAATTCACATTCAGCACCAGCTATTGAAAAACCCAACTGACTCATTACGGCTGGACCAACAGAATTTCCAAAGTCTCTGCAGTTAAGAATGTGCTGTTGGCAATAAACTGCTTTAATCATTTACACTTCCTATCTGAGACAACTGTGGTCTTGCACAAACCTTGCTGGGTTGAGCCTGTCTGCCTCAGCACCTGCACCCCTGACGACGATCTCACTAGCACATGGCTTATGCTGGGTGACGACCGCCCTCCAGACGCTGTGTTTGCCTGCGCGGCCACCACGGCCGGCGAGGCCCTGCCTAGCACTGTGGCCGGCCCTGACGCAGCAGTAGCAGCTAGCCCCGTGGTCTTGGGCTCCTTAGGGGTCTGGTGGCTGGCCGGTGGGGGGAAAAGCTTGCCCGGCTTGATCCTTATGGGCTGAGGTCGGGGCGCTGGCTCTGGGGTAGAGTCGATCTCCTCTATCAGGGGGCGGGGTGTCTGCAGCTGCTTAATGCGGTGGGCAGCATAGGCTGGTAGGAAGAGCTCCAGACTTGCTATGCATGTGTCAAGGGTGTTCAGACTGACACGCTGCAAGGTAATTGAATGGAACAAAACTTTGAAAGATACGTTGTTACAGAGGCAAGTGACATATTGAACATTGATCACCGAAGGTTCCTTCAACACCATTACCGCAAAAAGACCACAAACTAGGGGTACATTCCTCTCACCAAGTTCGTCACCATTTTCTAGCTTTTCAAAGCCAGCATTTCACCAAGATATCAATAAAATAATAGTTTCCTTGTTTTCACATGATATTTAAGATATAACCAATGGAGACAGTTACAGTGTGGTTTGCCTACTATGAGCTCCTCTTGCTTTAAACAAGCCCACAACATAGCTAGTGGTATTAGCTCAAACTAAATGGAAAGGTAACTACTTAGCCCACACTGATTTACGCACAATGTGGTCCACACTAGTCCCCAACAGAATTTCTCTCACCTTGAGTGGGTCCCATTCCAGGGCCTTGGTGATCAGCGAGGCTGTGTAGTAACAGATCCCCTCCATCTGGAAGGGGGACTGTATGGGCCGGGGCTCAAACAGGTCCGGGTGGTTGCACACCTTGCGAAGCTGCATCAGGACGTTGATGACGCTCATGAAGTGGCCAGAGGAGAGGGTTTCTCTGGTCCTGGGAGACAAGGAAACATCAAGGAAAGTGGAAAACAAAAAGACGTGAAAACCTGCAATCCTCTCCATTGAGGTTGTATCTGTACAACTTTCGCAGCAAGTTCCAAGTCACAGAAATCAGTCTTGGCCTTGACTGCAGTGCATCAATCATCTACTTACTTGGCTTGTGACATGAAGTCATCGTAGAGAAACCGCTGTCTCCGGGATAGACGACACCTCACCAGGTGCTCATACTTCTGGGGAAGTTGGTGCTCTACTTCAGACTTGAGACGACGAAGGAGAAACGGTCTTAGAACCTACAAAACCACAAGCAAAAGCAGAAAATGCACTGATGCGCCCTCAACAGAAATACGGTTACTTTCACCACCCGAGTCCCACCTTGCCAAGTGAACCAAAAAACCTACCTCTGAAAAGTGCAACAAAGTGCTGTGTGGAAGGAAGCATCCTGTTGGGCTTTAGCAGTCAACAGAATTGCCAGTATACAGTGCAATAAAAAAAATCCACTACGGTGTCATACTTTCTAGACTTGGACAGATTTTTTTCCATTTGATTTCACAGAATTTCACAAGATGCCCACAGAAAAACCTAACAGAGGGTAGGGTTGAAGGATCTGGTCAACATCTGGTCTAATAACCCGAGAGGTTTTACTCCTATCTTTGGCTTCACACTTCAGTTTCATAAACTTAGTTGTGACCACTTCGGCTCAATCCATAAGCTATGCTACAGAAAAAACCCTCTCTCTCAGATGTGAGTCTGATATTCGAAGCACTTTTGACTGGATCCGAAAGTTTGACACCGACAGTGAAACATGCCATGGGTTAGAGATGGTAACCCAACATGTGGACAAATACACTGTAACTATTCCATGAAGGGGCTACCTTGTGCAATCGTCTGATCAATCCCTCGTTGTACTCCTGCGTGCCCTCGATCATCCCACTGAGTGGGTTGGAGAACCATTCCCGGAACTCCCGGTGGGAGGCAAAAACGTGGGGCATGAGGAAGTGCATGAGGGACCACAGCTCCATCAGGTTGTTCTGCAGCGGGGTGCCCGTCAGCAGGAGGCGGCGCTGGCTGTTGAAGTTGAGAAGAGTCTGCCACCTGGAGAGCCAAGCGGGATACGTGATCAGTGTCTTCTAACAGAAATCTATGCATGTAACATACCTGCCGACATTGAAACGTCAGAAATCGGAACACCCATTGTTAAGAGCCCATAGCAAACATGCAGCCGTACGAGAGAAGCTATACATGCATGTACATAATGTGTAATACTTGCCATTTTGAAATTACAAGAGTGCCCTCCTTTTCTGTAAATAGCAACCTTCTATCTTGCTATAGAGCCATCTTTTGCCAGGATTTTTTTCTTTTCATAGAAATTGGAACACTTGTTTTTTACGGTCTGAAATGTGAAAAACTGGGGAAATTCTGATTAAAATTGGAATGGTCGGCAGGTATGATGTACGGTTTAAGGAGAGATACTTCAACTGACACATAGCTCCATCTGAGAAAGATGCCAAAAATGTAATAAAACTAGTAAATTCTTTATCACATTCCACAGAAATTCCTTAACCCTTGCTCGTTTTCACTCTAATGCACTCCAATATTCCTGTTAAAAAAACTGGCTATACATGGCCCTCTACTAACGGCCGCACCACTTCAATGGAGAAACTGTGTACACTTCAAGGAACTGCAAAGAAAACTGGAGGTCAACTTGGTCCAGCTAGTGTATTACACTGATAAGCAAAGCCACATGCCACAATCCTCTTAAGTACACTGGAGTGTTCTTCTATTGGGCTGTGCAGTGAAATCACTCCACTGGTAATGCAAAGAATCCTCCAATGCACGCCGGATGCAGTGCATTGGCTGGTCCTACTGACTTGCAGTAAATTGCTCTTATAGAGCGAGGGTTAACCTACTTTCTAAACAGATTCATCACATGCTAGAGGTGGGTGGCCAGAAAAACTGCCAACGGAGTACCCTCTGAGAGTTCGCCCACAGGGTCTTGCTATGGTTAGTACTACCAGTCTCTGGGCTTTTCCTACCTCTGTGACTTGAAGTTCTTGATGTTCTGAGCCTCATCAAGAACCAGGTACTTCCATTTTTTCCTCCGGAAGGACTGGTGGTCTTGGATGACCAACTTGTAGGAGGTGATGCAGACATGGAAGGCATTGCTCTTGGTCCAACCCTGAAAAGAGCAGGGTGCATTTTAAACACTTCCATGAGTGTTTTTAGCAATACGACACATTTCCATGACTTCCGAAACCAACATTTACGAGTCCATAAAAATGCCACGTTAAGCAGAAATGGTTAAAGAAGTGTATCTAGCATATCTACGCTCCCCTGCCATGACCAGGCGAGGGAAGCAGCAGGTGGCTAGAAGAAGGCTTTTATCTCCGAGGTGGATAGCACCGTTATGCCAAATGGGTCACAGCACACAGTACGCGATCCTCGTCAAAATAAGGACACAATACTGTGGTTCTGAACAACTTGAGGTATTATAAGCTTTTGACCACACACTGTACTGTGCGATTAAGCGATATCCGCAGCTATCATAGAGATGCGGAGCAAATAAAACACACGCGGTAATCCTAACCCTCCTCAATCCTCCAAAATCCTTTGGGCGGCATTGGACGATTTTGGAGGACTGAGGGTGAATGACAAAAGTGCATGACTGATTGTGAAGGATGCCATGTGTGAAGGTCATGGGTTAGACCTTGTGTTGTTTTTGCTTAGTCATGCATAAATTCAGCCCGGTATTCCTTTTGAATCAACCGCACTGCTCAAGAATGCCATTCGTACTGCCTCAACATCATGACAGGAATTGCCGGAGGATTTTGAAGGATTGAGGCAGCAGGCACACCTTCAAGTAACATTTTCAAGAAATTTTGGAGGATCCTACAGGATTGAGGAGGGTCCCTAGCAAGAAGGGCCAAGGGGTTAGGGTTAATGAATCCCAACATAACATCATACAAATATCAGCGGACAGCCAGTCACAAGAGTATGCCATGAACACTTTTGGCTGGTGCCCGTTTACACAGCTTTCCATGTTAAGAGCTACGTACAGTGTTATTACTCCTGCATCAAATTCTGTATTTCAAAAATGAGAAAAATGGGCCTTGCAACCTCACACATTACCCCTCCTATGGTTTTACAGCACAAATGTGCATAAATGCCCACAGTCACTGGTGAGCATGTATTTTCTATATGGAACTCAAACATGCACAGGTTCAGTGTGTACACAGTAGGTTGTCAGCACAAAATGACCAAGGGTCTTTTGTGCAGTCCTCTTCACTGCATTTGGTTTACTGCACAATTATGCACATGAAACAGTGACGCACAGTTCTTGGGCAGCACAAAAGTGCAATCTGATATTCCTGTGAGGGACTGTTGGTGCAGTGCACAACACGACACAGCTGTGCTTCATGGAGGTGTTTACCAAGTGACTCAAAGAGTGACTTCCACATAGGAGGGTTAACCTTCATAAACACAGATGTGAACTAAAAAGAATGGCGACTGAGAATACCTGTCTCTTCTGCTTGCGCTCCTTCTGAGAGCCAAAGTATGTCAAGATCTTGAAGCCTGGACACCACTTCTTGAACTCCATCTCCCAGTTCAGCATGACGCTGGTCGGCACCACAATCAAGTGTGGACCCCAATTTCCTGCCATTAGTTATACAAATTAACATTTAGCACAGTTCACAAAGAACTATGCAGTCGGGCAAGTGTTGAAATGTAAAGCTAGGCTTGTTAGGACGGTCCAATCCAGATCAAGCAAACTATGGGACTGGATCCCACAAAATGAGTCTGAAGACCATTTTTCAGTGACGAGACCGAGTGAGCAGAGTTCTGATGACAAAGGGCATGACAAAAATGACAAGGGTTCCTACTGACATGCACGACTCTTACAAGGCTATATACTGTCAAAAATCCTCTGATTTATGACATGATTTTACACACACCCTAGGGGGTTCGGGTTAATTCACAAGTGGCTTTAGTGACTTGAGTCTCATTTTGTTACGTTGCTAACTCGCACAACAATGAAACCACCTCAACAACCATCAATACCTCCAGTGGCCAGCACTGGGAGAAGGCTGTCTACCCCGACAGGAGCCATGGGCTAGTTGGTGGCTATCCCATGGGTTTTATGAGGTAGTGTTGCTCTTTCCCTGAGAATTTAAATCCATGGTGAAAGACGGGAGGCTATCAACATGGGCGTTGAAGGGAATTCAATGTTTTAACGTGTGAAAGTAAAGCGAGGACAACTGGCATTATTTAAGAGAGAGCTAAGACTGTCCAACATTTGGAGTAAGATGGGACTCAAGCCCGAACTGTTTTGACTACCGGTCAAAAGCAACGGCCAAACTGAATGGCAAACAGGAATACAATTTCGTGTAAGAACCTTTGCCTTTGACGAGTATGAGTGTTGACTTAAACAATGTAATAATACTCTGCAATATAATCCCTAAAATTATTTGTAAAAATGCTTAACTTTAACACCCCCCCCCAAAAATTACGGAAACACTTGACAGGATTTTTGTGGCAAGACTCGTTTCAGACACAATCTCCGTCTTGCCCAAGTTACGGTTCTCTGACTGGCCAAGACATGGACAAGTGTCTCCCCACCCTCACGCGGACTCTACTTACCCGCTTCACATGCCAGGTGAGCCAGCAGGGCGATGGTCTGGATGGTCTTCCCCAAGCCCATCTCGTCAGCCAGGATGCCGTTGAGTCTCTTGTCGTTCATAGTCACCAGCCAGTCTAAGCCAATGTGCTGGTACTCGCGTAGCTTGTGGCGCAGAAGGAAAGGCACGGGGGTTTTGACCTAAAAAAAATGTGGACGAAGTCATCACTGCTATTAAACACTTCATGCCGGGGAGCCCGGTACTGGAGACATTGGCTGTATATGCATGGTCGGGGTACTTGAAATTGGAACAAAGGAACTGGGCCTTGTAATAAAGTAAAGCCTTGTAATACATAAAATAAAATTTTGGAGGATTTCAGAGGATTGAGGGAGAATCCAATCCCCCCCCCAAATTGGAGGATTCTGGAGGATTGATGAGGGTCCCTAGCAAAAAGGGCCCATGGGGTTAGGGTTAACCATGTCAAAGCCATAAAAATGTGCACTGTTATGTGCTTGTGTGCTGTGTACCTCAGGGGCACTTCACACTGTTCTGGCATGGGGATGTGCGGACCCCTCTAAACTCCCCACACTATGCTGGCGTACAAATGACTCCACAATACGTTGCATTCACCCACCCATAAATTACAGCATGGGCTTTTGAGGACATTTCCAGAGTACTGGTCACGAGCACTTCAAAATATAAGAGCATCTGCGATATATTCAGTACCAGGGCATCACTGATGTGGGACATCTGAAAACCTGTTTTTCTGAGTTAAACATGTGATGTTCTGCAAAAAGGTATATCAAGTCACAAAAATGAAAAATGAACACTCACACCCCCCCCCACGAAATTTAACCTTCTGAACTCTGAGCAGGCCATTACACTGAATGGCATAGAATGACTTGCCATCATCTTTTCCTGGAGTGGGTCACATATTACACAGAATGAGATTGCTTTAGGGTGCTCATAGGTTAAAAACGAACCAGTGTGGTAGACAGCGTGTAGCCTGTGGGTTGCAGGCTCTGTGCAGCCGCCGCTATGTCGGTGATCTCCTTGTTGGGCCCTGCATCCTGCGACGGCTCCTGGGCGGCTGAGGCTGATGGGGCTGCCGGTTCCTCGTTCTCCTTGTGAGGATTGATGAGGTACTCCATTCCGACATCTGTCAACTCTGCCTCCTCATCTGACGCTGTGCCATCTTCTTCTTCTGGATAACAAAAAAAAAATTCTATTTTAACGCTTGTCACTTTTTGTAAGATTTTTCAAACTGAATAGCTTTTTATGAAAAGGCTTTTCAAACTAAACTTTAAATCAATCTTTTACACCAACATTCATGGTGGTCTTGAAATACCAATCTTTCAAAAAATTGTTTTCTCATACATCAGCTGTGGGGCCTATTTCATAGAGCTGCTTAAGCACAAAATCCGCTTAAGCGCGAAAAACCTTGCTTAAAAAACAAAGGTTACCAGCTTAAAATCTATGTGATTGTCTTGTTAACAAAACAACAGGTGAATACCATTACAAAACAACATACATCACGTGGAGTTTTGGCTGGTAACCTGATTTGTCAAGCACGGTTTCTTCACGCTTAAGCAAATTTTTTGCTTTAGCAGCTCCATAAAATTGGCCCCCGTGGGCACACCAAGTTCTTTCAATTCACATGAACATAACAATTTGAATTCCCATATTAAAGACCCTATTGCTATACCTAGCGATCCTGGGCAGGCTTTCACACAGCCCCATCATCTCTGGAATGGACTGGTTCCTTTATGCCCTTCTTATCCTTTGAAAACAGGGTATTAGTGCAAGACGTCTCTAATATAAGAAATTAAAAGCTTGTCCCCGAACCACCAAGTACAGCAACTGTGTCTAAAGCATGGAGAACTTAAATTATGTTCATGTAAATTTAAAGAACTCTGCGTACCAGATTTTATTCAAATTTAACTGTAAAATTCAAATTGTGCTGTAAAATCCTGGCAAATTTTAAGCGGCCTACCTTCAGTTTCTTCCTCTTCGTCTTCTTCATCTTCTTCATCTTCCTCATCCTCGTCATCAGACACCGGCATCTCAAAGTCCTCCTCGTACGCCCCGCCATACTTCTTGATAAGCTCCTCGATGCTCATCTCCCCCTCGGCCTCCAGCTCTGCCACCTCGGCTGAGTGGTCCACAGTTCCCTCTGCCTCCTCCTGCTCCTCTAGTGTCTCTTCGTCATCTGGCACTTGGGGGGAAAGAAACAGATGTTAGAGAGTTGGGGAAAAAAAGCCACTGCCACGGAGTAAACGCAGAGATGTCAAGAAATCCAGCAAATATCTGGCACAAGGGGCCGCACTGGCAATAAACTACTTTGACTTTTCCAGGCTCTGCATGCCAAATTAGGCACTGATGGCTATGATTATGTGAATTTTGAACTTGTTTTGTTTTTTGTACAAGGTGCTTGGAAAGTACCAAAACCTGAACGGATTAACCTCTAAAATTCCACAATTTTGGGGTGAAAATCTTGAAATCCAGTAAAACCCTGAGACACAACCACCAAGTGCTGTCTTATCAGCTGAACACATGGGGTCTGTTCAGCACAAAAAACGTAGAGATTTCGATTGTACTGCTGTATTAAAAGAAAAAAACAAGAACGGTTCACCAATGCCAAGATATTAAGAAGTAATTACATTCTTCCTCTTCATCATCTGTTGAAGGCATGAACTCATCGTCAGCTGTGGCTGCCTTGGGGGGACTTCCCTCAGCTTCTTTGGTCTATCCACACACAATAACAACAAAATTACAAAAACACTAAGACACTGCTCCCAGTATTTCAGTCAGCTTTGTGTGAAGCGAGCTGACGGAAAAACAATCACCCTAAACCACAGATGGTATTTCATCCATGGGCTGATCAACACTACAGTCATCACATGTGGGTATCTCAACCACTCACGTTCTGCACTCGTGTGCAGATCACGCGTGGATATCCAGTTCAAACACCAAATAAAAAGCAAACCAGCGAGTGTTAGTATTCTGTCTGCTCACCACTTCACTCAAGTCTGCCTCTTTGTCCTTTCCGGATCCTTCCTCCTCACTTCCCTTCTCCACCCTGTCGCCCGTCCCGACCTCGCTCGTCTCGCTAGGCCCAGCCGCCTGGTCTCCCGCCTCGTCTTTCCCTTCCAGCATCTCTGGCGGCAGGCTGCCCAGGAGGTCCTCCAGGGGCACCTGGCTCTCCTTCTGGAGCAGCTCCAGCTCCTTCTGGTGGGCGTCCTGGTCCTGCTCCGCCTCCCGCTCTTCCACGTCGATGGTCTCCTCATCGTCCGTGTCTTCTCCCTCGGGCTGGAAGTCTGCATCTGAATACAGAGATGTTTTTGCTACTCATGTAAAGCTCTGGTCTAGAAGAACGTGTGACATGATAGGCCTTTTAAAAAGAATTGCCCGATGGAACCGATTTGGAGGATTCAGCTGCCGCTTACAAGATTGGTATGCTCACATTTGTAGATTTTGAGAGCATAGCCAATCACTAATAAGAAAAAACTGCAACTCAAGGAGGCCCTTTAGCAGCTGCTTTTCATTTAGCCCACCTCTAAGAACATGTACACAAAATACTCTGCATCTGATGGTAAACCAAAAACACAATTCAGATTTTCCAGGAGAGCACAACCGAGACACTTACCATCCCCCACTGCCAGTGGCCCTGGGTCTGATCTTGGGCTGGAGGCCACGGAGCCCTGCAATGACGAGCCAGCAGTGGTGAGGTTGAGTCCCTCTGTCAGCCAGGAGGAATACTTCTCTGTCTGGCCCACAATGTAGTCAAGCTGCATGTCCATGGCTTTCCGGCGCCTTTCCTCCAGCCGGCTCTGCTGCTTGTATTGCACTACCTGCATGACAACAAGCACAAAGACTCAGGGGACCAGACAGAAAGTGACACCTTTGCTGGCAAGATTTCCTCTGAAGTTAATCAACTGTTTCGGCCCCACACCAGGATATTTCAAGGCTATGTCACATGACTTATGACCCACATCCGAGGATAACTCTTCGCAACACACACTCGGGCATATTACCGTTACATTCATTAAACCAGCCTGTGCAAAATCAAACGAAGACATGTGAAGCATTTACTCCACAATTCCACAAACATTTATGCCTGCTACCTTTTCAATGTTTGACCAGAACGTCTTGATCTCCTTGGCAATGTTGGCCGCGATCCTTCTCAGCTTCTGTGTCTCTTCCCTTTCAGCCTTCACCTCCTTGGCATGCTTCTCCTGGTGGTGTCTAGCTACGGCTCGCACCAACTACAAAGTGAACGAAATCAATTCCACTCAATGTTCGATAGCATGTAACTCTACTCAAGCTTCCACATTCCCGTTGCCTCTTTTCCAA